AGAGGCATGTGACTTCCCCGGGGTTGTTATGCAGCGGAGGGGAGGGATCCTGTAAACATCCCACCCACTCACAGAGACCTGGTTCCACTCCAGGTCCCACCCCGAGCCGGGCCCAATCCACCACAGGTGCTCCAAAACATTCACTCCAGAACGGTGGTCAGAAGCATTCGGATACTAACGCTAAGCATAAGCCAAGCCAAATTTTATTTAATTTTAAGATTTTATTTATTTATTTATCTTAGAGAGAGGCGGCGACAGTGAGAGCACCAGCAAGGTGAGGGGCAGAGGGAGAAGCAGACTCCCCCGCCAAGCAGGGAGTGGGATGCGGGACTCCATCGGTCATGACCTGAGCCGAAGGCTGACATTTAACTAACTGAGCCACCCCGGGTGCCCCAAGGCAAGCCAAATTTTAGCACAGAAACATACGGGAAGAGAAAAATCATTCACCTTGCAGATCAAACCTTTCATAGAAGGACCACCTGAGGGGAGCCTTTTAAGCCCCTTGGATATTAACAACCCGAGTTCCTGACGGGGAATAGGACAAGAAGCCATCAGGAAAGATCGGGAAAGGATGCAAAAAAACCAGGATCACTTTGGAAACCCAGCTGGGTACACAGCTTTTTGGTACAGGTAGTACCAAAGGAATCCCCAGCTTTGAGACTGAACGTATGGGTCTCGTGTCGAGATATACAAATGTGTGCAAATAGAGTAGACACACAAACCCACCCCCTCCCACCTTTGAAAACAGTGTCAAAGCTCCAAAGTCCTTCACTGTCAACCGTATTTATTCACTCATCTGCCAAATATTTGTTGAGCACCTACCCTGGGCCAGACCCTGGTCTGGGAACGGAACTGTATCGGTGACCAAGAGTGAGAGAGTCCTTGCTTTCATTGGTGGTCTACACAAAAATCAAGAGTTAAAGAAAAAATACCCACATGGTAGTGGGTGTACCAAGGGCGTGGTTTTTCCACACCAACAACCAATTCCCCAACACCAACTGGATGTTCAACAATTCAGTTCAATTCTGACACCAACTCTTGGGGTTTGTGTAGATCCCACAGGGTCAAGGATCAGTCCCACAAGACTGCCCCCACCTCAGACCACAGCTACCCATCCCAAGGGCCACCTGTACCTCCAGAGTACTGGCTATAAATTCAGGGGTTCCCACACCCCCCCCATCCTGGGTTCAATAATTTGCTGGAATGACACACAGAACTCACTTTACTTAGTTTATCGGGTGATTATAAAGGACACAACTTGGGGGCAGCCAATGGGAAGGCACGTGGAGGACAGGGTGTTGAGGAGGGAGGGGCTGGAAGCAACATGGAAATTTCCAAGCCGCCCTCCCAGCACCTCCATGTTCACCAGCTCTCCCCAAACCCTGCTGTTGAGGGACTTTTCCCAAGGTTTCACTACATAGGCATCATTGATTAAATCCCTGGCCCCTGGTGATTAACTCAAAATGCAGCCCCCTCTCCCCTCCCTGGAGGCTGGGTGGGGAGGATGTATCGGGAGAACAGAGAATTCCAACCTCTCTCATTAAGGCTTGGTCTTTCAAGCAAGCAGGCCCCATCCTGAAGCTATCTAAGGCCCCCCACTCCCCGCTACTGATAATAAAGAATATGGTCTTGGGGCGCCTGGGCGGCTCAGTGGGTTAAGCCTCTGCCTTCCTCTCAGGTCATGGTCTCAGGGTCCTGGGATTGAGCCCCACATCTGGCTCTCTGCTCAGCAGGGAGCCTGCTTCCCTTCCTCTCTCTCTCTCTGCCTACTTGTGATCTCTGTCAAATAAATAAATAAATAAAATCTTTAAAAAAAAAAGGATATGGTCTTATCACTCAGGAGCTTGCAAGGGTTTTTAGGGGGTCTGTGCCAGGAACTGGGGACAAAGACCAAATACCCGTGTTTTGTATTATACCACAAGGGGTCAAAACTTGGAGCTAAGAAAGCAGGTCCTGCAGCTTCCAACCCAGACTGCGCGGACTTCCCCAGTGTGGTGAGATGAAAAGATAAAAAGCAGCTGGACAGTAGGGCCAGGGAGGCCTGGGAACAGCGGGGGCAGGAAGAGAGGGAGAGAAACTTCAAAGTTCCAAAAGCTAGAAATTCATTAGAAGTGATTGTATGCCGTCCAGGTTTTCCTGCTCATTCCTCCAGCGGAGACTCCCTCCCCAGAAGCCCCCCAAGCCCAGCCTGGATGCTTCAAGGTCAGAGGACTCCTAGAGGATTTCCTTTGGTTTTTGCTTCCCACTGGACCCCAGTGCTTAGATCGTGCTGGGCACGCAACCACAGGGTTGGATAACAAAGCAAACCAACAAGTCCCTACAACCTAAACCCTCACACACCCGCCCACAAGAACCTCAACAGCAGACTGTCCAGAATCTGAAATTCCACCATTAAACGTCACTTGGGGGAATTAAGAAACTCTGTCATAGGGCACCAAGAAACCAGTCATAATCTCAAATTACAACTTGAGATAAGTAACATAATTTCAAGTTACAACTAGGAGCTTCACAGTTTGCCAAGAGATTTCCTTTATAGCCTGCGATTTACAGACAAGGGAAGGGAAGTTCAGAGAGGTCAAGTGACATCTCCCGGTCACATCTGCAGGGTCTGAGCCCGGGCCTCTGGACTCCAGGTGGGGGCTGTGGTGTCTGCTGACGCACAGGGAACCAGGTACGCATGTTCCAGGGACCGCTCTGAAGTGCAGGCGGACAGAGGAAGAGCCCGGCGAGGGTCAGCAGTTGACACTCCCAGAGCTGTGCCCCCACCACCCCACCACCCCCACAGAAGCGGGTGGTGGCAGAAGGCAGAACGGGTCACACCACCTAAGGGAGCCAGTGCAGGAGAGGAAAGCAGGGAGCTCAGCCTGGGAACCCTGAGAGCTGAGAGCCCGCCAGGCACTGCCTTCCGGTTTTGTATGTTCCAGCCCATTCCAGAGGAGGACAAAGGGGCTGGGCCACCCACTAGAAACCTAGGCGTGCAGCTCCAGAGGCCAGGCCTACAGGCAGACACAGGTGAGACAGGTGAGCTGGGTCGGGGGACAGGGGAGGGAGTGGGAGGCCCCTGAGGGCTGGACCACCTCAGTCATGACCCTCCCTGTGCTCCTAATGACTCTGAGCTTGGCTTTCTTTGATTTCATTTCAACCCCTATTTAGAGACCCTACCCATGGGCCAGGCTCTGGCTAAGTGTTAGTTTAATTTGACAAAGGCCCCTGCCAGGGGAACTCCAGGGGAGGGCGGGGCTTGGGATTTTAAAGAGGGCAGTCAGGTGGGCCTCACTGAGGAGGTGACATTGAGCAAAGACTTGAAGGAGGTAATGAGGGAGCCAGGAGGACACCTGGGGAAAGAGTGTTCCAGAAGAAGAGTTCGAGGCAGAGGATACAACTTGGCAGAGGTGGGGTGCAGGGGAGGCCTGCGGTGTCCAGGCATGGCAAGGTGGCAGCAACAGTAGGGGAGTGGAGCAGGAAGACAGGAGGCCAGCTCAGCGGCCTTGCAGGGATCCAGGGGGCAGATGAGAGGGGCTCCTTGAACGTGACAGACCCCTTGTCAGCACCCCCATGGCCCTGCCACCCCCTCGGGGGTATCGGTTTGGAAGCCTGCATACAAACCGGACTTGCCGCTTGTGGCTACATGACCTCACAGAGTGTCCTTCCTTCCCATCCTGACCTCCCTGTAAAACAGGCTAGTAACAGTAGTGTGTCTATAGGGCTGCGTTGGATGCCTAAGGGAAAGACAGACCACGTGCCTCTGGACAGCTAGGCGTGGGATCCAAGGAAGTGCCGACCACCCAGGCACTTGGGAGGGGAACATTCGAGCAAAAAAGGCATCGTTCCTATTGCCTACTCTAACAGCGCCCAGTGGGGCAGCAAAGGGGCACTCAGTTCCGGGGGTGGGGGGCAGGTCAGGAAGGCTCCTTGGAGGAGAGGTCCCTGGAGGTTGGGTCTGACTAGGAACAATGGGGGAAAGCGCCAGAGGCAAAAGGGAGCAGGAGCAGGAGGGGAGCTCCCCAGGTGCTGGAGTAGCTGGAGTAGCTGATCCAGGGCTAGGGGCAGGTTGAGGGGAGGTGGTGGAAGCCTGGGAGCATAGACTCTCTCCCGCAAAACAGTGCGCACCAAGGGGCAAATTCCAAGTGGGGGGTGGCGGGGAGACACAATGTGACTGCAGCTGAAGAGCTCCACCTGGCAGCCTGGAGAACTGACAAGGGAGAGGCAGAGGTTAGGTGAGAGATGGTGGGGGCGGGGTGGGGGACAGACATGGGGATGGAATAAATGCATTTGAGATACTCAAGAAGCAGACTGGAGCCTACCTGATGGTTGCCTTGCTGTGGGGGAACAGGGGCTTCTGAGTGTCAGGGGGTTTGCCGAAGGACGCAGGTCCATCCTGACTGCGGGGGACACACAGGGGTCCCGGGGGGAACCCTGCCCAGGCCCGAAGCAAGCTTCCTCCCCCAGCTCTGTGGTACCCCTCAAGGCTCACAGAACTGGACTGAGAGAGCCCAGGACTCAGGGGACCAGGTGAATGGGACTGCAGGTCCCTCCAGCAAGGCCCCCTGGCTCTGTGGTCAGACCCTGTCCAACTCCTGGCTGCCTCAAGCTATGCAGCTAGAGGCCACACAGATGCTCAGTGTCACCAAATATCTGTGCATGAGTGACTTGAACTACTATGCGAGAATTCCCCCAGGTAACCCATGCAGTACAGGTTGCAGTGGATGGAGCTCCGGCCCTGTGACTGGATCCTGTCCAGATCTCGACAAAGAGTCCTGCTCTACCATTTACAGAGCGATTACTGCATGCCTGGCCAGCCGAGGGCGCCCCGGGAAAGGGGTGGGGGTGCGGGGCACTGGCATATTTCAGGGCAGTTGCTTTCCTATGCGGAGGGACCCCTGGCTGATGTTCAGCTCTGGGCACTTCCTCCTCCTGCACAGAGGTCCTTAGTACCCCCGGGGCTCGGAGCACTAGGCCAGAAGTATCTCTCCTGAGGCACCAGGCAGCTCCAGGCTAGGATGGACAGCCCAGTGCACCGAGTGTCCCTGGGGGATACCTGGAGCAGGCGAGTGCACCCTGACATAGCGAGTGAGAGGTTCATACAGTCCTTCAGCGTGGAACAACTCACCAACATCCTGGATGGAGGTGCCCAGAACACTGCACTCCGGAGGAAAGTTGGTAAGAGGGAGCTGGGGAGTGGAGCCCCTGGTTTGTGCCCATATGCCTTTCTTGGAAGAAGAGTCCTCCACTAGCTGTCCCACCTTCAAATGACAAATTTTGCTCTCAAAATTCCACTGTTAGAGAGTCATTCCTTTGGCCTGGAAGGACCTCTCTAACAAGTCCATATTCCCTGAACCCAACTGAAGGATAGAAGAGTCTTAGGCAGCAGAAGACCGGGATGTTGGTCCTTAATCTGCCACTGCCTAGCTTTGTAACCTCAAGCAAGTCACCTTCCCACCTCTGGTGCTCAGTCATTACATCAGTAAAATGACAATGTCTGACTTCCTTTCCACGTCCACAAGGCAAGAGGGTGGAAAGATCTGAAGGTGCCAGGAACCTCACCCTGGTCTCTAAGCCCTCTGTTTTCTGTCTCTGGAAGAGAGCATCATCCACAGTGACCCAGAGTTTAGTGTGAAGGATAATTATTTCATGACCCAGAATGAACGTTATGTGGCCGCCGTCCAGAAGAAATTTCACCTCCAGATAATAGCAAAGCGCCTCGGCTGGTCGGAAAACAGTCCTGAATTATATTACGCTTACAGGTACTCACTCCCAGGGCAGCCCCACCAGAGAAGAGGTCACCTGGGTTCACCTGGAAAACCTTAGCACCATTAGCAGTTTTCCCCACCTTTAAAGGCCATGGCTGTTGGGAGGCTAGGATGACAAGCGCCCCTTCCCTCCTGCACCCCGCCAGGCTGACGGTACCAGGGTCCCTGTCTCCGGTGGGCTACTCCAGCACCGTGTCCTTTCCCCCACAGAGCCCTTTCTGGAGAACTGGCATTAGGCCTACACACCGTGTTCCTGAAATCCCTCCAGAGCCTAGGCTCTGAGGAGCAGATTGCCAAATGGACCCTGCTCTGCAATGAGTTCCGGATCATTGCATCATATGCCCAGACAGAACTGGGACACGGTGAGCCTGCGTTTCTGCATGCATGGTTCCAGAAAGCCCACTCACAGCTGAGTAGTCAGAGATTGTGTATTTCCTATGGAAACATTCCAGCAGGGGGCAGTCAAGGGTCTGGAAGGAGGGGGTTCCCTTTCCTAGTTTATAGAAACACACCACATGAGCTAGCGTGTGTGAGGCAAGTCGTTCCTTCTGGAAATGTCAGCAGGCGTCCCTTGTCACGGGCTGGACACGTCTCCCCCACTCAGCCCACGGGTGAAAGACAAGAAATGCCTGTGAGTACAGCTGGGAGCTCCCCGACTCCAGAAGAGGCTGGTCCTGGCAGTTCTGGGCCCACCAGGACGCTGCCCCCCAGGTGGGAATACTATCCTGAACCCTGACTCACAGACTCTCCTCCTTGATTCCCAGGGACGAATCTTCGGGGCCTGGAGACTGAAGCCACCTATGATGCAGCCACCCAGGAGTTTGTGGTGCACAGCCCCACGTTGACAGCCACCAAATGGTGGCCTGGGGACTGTGAGTATCCATCCGTACCCCCCAGCTCTATCTGTCCCCAAGGAGAACAAAGTTGGACAGTAGAGTAGCACGGCTCTGAGGTCCACCAGACCGCAGACGGATTCCCTATTCTAGGCTGGTGAACTTGAATGAATCAATTCATGTACTTGAACTTCAGGGTCTCACCCTGGCAACAGGGGTGATGGGAAGAATTTCATCCGTGAGTGGTTGAGAGACCCCAACTTTGAAGTAGCTGAGGAAACCCACCCGACCTGTTGGGGATGAGGGCCAGGGCCTCTCCCACAGGCACCCTGCCCCCACACAGACACACGGCCCAGTCCCAGGCACTCTCACCTCCCAAGTTAGTGATTAAGCTTGCCAAGCCATCACCCAGTTCACAGATCGCCCCTGCTCCAGAAAGGCTCAGCCACGGTCTGGCTGCCAGCACCACACTGCCCTCTGTGGCCACCAGGTGGCGACCGCACCATGCTTCCCCCAGGCTCTGTCATTGCTCCAGAGGGGACCCCAACAAGGCTCTCTCCCCTGGATGTGACACACACCTGTGAGGGCCCCTCTGTGGCACTTCAGAACCCATTTGGTGAATGCTTCCATGGGGAGAAAAAGGAATCCCAAGAGTACGACTAAGCAGAAAGAAACAGGCCAGAGATAAGCAGAGAGGGAGAAAGCTTGAGAGAGAAGTCAAAGAAATAGGGACAGACAGGAGAGAGCAAAGAGAGAGGAAAGGGAGGGAATAGATGACCACCATCAGAAGTGCAGAAAAAAGGGGCACCTGGGTGGCTCAGTGGGTTAAGCCTCTGCCTTCGGCTCAGGTCATGATCTCAGGGGCCTGGGATCGAGCCCCGCGTCGGGCTCTCTGCTCGGCGGGGAGCCTGCTTCCTCCTCTCTCTTCTGCCTGCCTCTCTGCCTACTTGTGATCTCAGTCTCTGTCAAATAAATAAAAAAAAAAAACCTAAAAAAAAAAAGGACAGCAGGAAAAAGAAACCAACCTTGGCAATCAGGCAGGCTTGAAATCCCAGTGCCGCCCCTGTCCAGGCCAGTGACCTTGAGGGGCCTCCCTCGCCTCTCTGAGCCTCAGTTTCCTTATCTGGGAAATGGGATTCATCATCCCCGCCCTGCGAGAACCGGAAAGCACCAGCACAGGGCCCAGCACCAACTGGATTTAGATAAATGGTAATTATCTGTATTCATTATTACTAGGTGGAGGATACAGTGATTCATTTACAGGTTTTTGAGGACAGAAAAAAACAAAAATCTTGCTCATCTCGCAGTGCCTTTTGCAAAACATTGCTAGATTTGTTTGGTTCTTTGGGAGCAGGTCTCCCTCTCTGGAATCAATGACTCTTTGAGGGCCCCTGGGATGGGGGGTGGGGGTAGCGATACACACCTTTCCCTGTGATCCAGGACTGGTTTTCTCACCATGGATCCTAACAGACATACCCCAGCAGCTCTGGCATAAAGACCCTATCTCCCTGATTCCAAAGAAAATGACTCAAGGGCACACACTTCAGCCAGAAGACTTCAGAAGAACCAAATTTTTTTTTTTAAGATTTTATTTATTTATTTGACAGAGATCACAAGTAGGCAGAGAGGCAGGCGGGGTGGGGGGGGGGGGAAGCAGGCTCCCTGCTGAGCAGAGAGCCCGATGTGGGGCTTGATCCCAGGACTCTGAGATCATGACCTGAGCCGAAGGCAGAGGTTTAACCCACTGAGCCACCCAGGCGCCCCAGAAGAACCAAATTTTTAAAGAAGCTGAGATTCCCCAGATCGTTTCGTTTAGGCTATTTGCATTAAAATCCATAACCTTTGTGAACTTTGGCTTTGGAAGTGGGGAGCATCTGGAGGGTGTGGAGGGCTCCGCACCCCTCAGGATCTCCAGCAGCCTCCTGCAGCCTCCCTGCCCCGTGCCTGTGTATTGTAGGGAGGTTGCTCCACACACGTGACATTTAGACAGGACCCCCTGCTCCTCCAGCCACCAAATGAGTGTCCATAACATCCACCAAGCCAGTGCGTTCTAGAGCCAGACGCTCATATTAAAGCTCTCAAGACCGTTCCAGCCATTTCCAAGGATAGGTCAAGGCCATGTGAGTCAAGGGGTATCCTGAAAAAGCATTGCTTTGTTGCCCCAGATGCTACCTTGTCCTCTGCCTGGCCCTCCCTGCCCTGTGTGACCCCCCCGGGGAAGGCCCTGTACCCTTCAGGCTCCTCGTGCACCCTCCCCTGACCTCAGCATTTGAGGCTGATCAAACAAAGCCCATCCCGGCTTCCCATGGTGCCCTGCCCTTCCCCAGGCCACCACATTGGTCCCCCTGGCCCGTTACAGATAGGGCCCACACCCAGGCCCCTGATAGGGAGAGTTAGTCTCCTACACCAGAGGTCATCCTGGGCCTCTCCTCTCTCTGCCTTCAGTGGGACGGTCAGCCACCCACACTTTGGTCCAGGCCCAGCTGATCTGCTCAGGAGCCCGGCAGGGCATGCACGCCTTCATTGTGCCCATCCGAAGCCTCCGGGACCACACCCCACTGCCAGGTAAGCCCATATGGCTCCCAGGACCACTGCCATGGAGAGACCCCACCAGGTCTCCCTATCCCAAGGCCCCAGAGCTCATGGGAGAAGCTGGGGCATGTCTCCCTTGGGCAGGTATGGGTCCCTGGATAGACCTGGTGCTAACCAGCTGGGTGAACTTGAGCAACATTCAGCACCTGTCTGACCTCAGCTTGGTCACCTGCAAAACAGGTGTAATAACCCCATGTGACAGGCTGCTGTGAGGCTCAGGGGAGGTGGAAGGAATGGGGGGGGGTACCCGGCACACAGAAAGCACTTGGCTGGGGCGCCTGGGTGGCTCAGTGGGTTAAGCCACTGCCTTCGGCTCAGGTCATGATCTCAGGGTCCTGGGATCGAGCCCCGCATCGGGCTCTCTGCTCTCTAGGGGAGCCTGCTTCCTCCTCTCTCTCTGCCTGCCTCTCTGCCTGCTTGTGATCTCTCTGTCAAATAAATAAATAAAATCTTAAAAAAAAACCATGAGCTCTGGAAGAAAAAGAAAGCACTTGGCTGACAGGCGTTCCCATCTCCATCTCCTTCTAGGAGTCACTGTTGGAGACATCGGGCCCAAGATGGACTATGACCACACAGACCATGGCTTCCTGCGACTGGACCACGTGCGGATCCCTAGAGAGAACATGCTGAGTCGCTTTGCACAGGTGGGAGTCTCGCATGCCTACACTGCCTGAAGAGGGGACAGTGGCCTCCTACAGAATGCTGCTGGCTCTGGGTCTTCCTCCAAAGAGCAGAGTTTGGGGCACCCCACCCCACTCTAGAAGGGCTCTGGCATCCCACAGATCTGGGTAAAGCCCCAGTTTAGGAGCTGTGTGATCTTGGGCAAGTCACTTGACCTCTCTGAGCCTCAGAGTTCTCATGGATCAATGCTCAGAGCTCCATGTGGTGGTAGAGCAGCCATAGGGCAGGGTGGCAAAGCGACGGGAGACGAGGGAAGGGCTGAGGGTGACCGGCTTATCTACCTACAGTAAGGCCTGGACAACCAGTCACTGACCAGACACAAGCCAAGTGCTGGAGGAAGTTCTGGAGGTCCCCATGTTGCCGGGCATTCCCTTTAGCTGTGGATTTGGGGGGAGGTCCTGGGTGTCCCAGGAGAGGAGCCATGAACCCAGGCACTTGAGGCAGGGACAGATCAGCAGAAAGCACAGGTGTGTTTCACAACCAGCGCACCTAGCTGGTGGTCAGCCACCTGCTCCCGGTGAGCAGTCTGAGGACTGTGTGCCTGGAGGGGACAGAAGCCCACGGTCATGGGTGTAGGACAGACTCGGGGCCTTGGCTCAGACCCAGCACCTGTCTCTGGTACCCCAGGTCTTGCCAGACGGCACCTACGTCAAGCTGGGAACACAGCAGACCAACTACTTTTCCATGGTGGTGGTGCGGGTGGAGCTGCTCCTGGGCGAGATCATCCCTCTGCTGCAGAAGGCCTGTGTCATCGCCATCCGCTACTCCACCATCCGCCGCCAATCCAGCATCCAGCCCAGGCAAGGGGCACCCACACGCTGACCACGACAGACAGGGCTAGCTCTCCATCCCACAGCGCCTGCCCCCTGATGCTGCCCCTCTGCCCGAGTGGGGTGCTGGGAATACATGTGACCCCCACAACACACGCACAACCTCTGGCCAGACCCGGCCCGTCTGGCCCTGCCTGCGGGGTCTCCATCGGGTTCTCTCTGTCCCTGGCTGATCTACCGCCAGAGATCACGGTCAGGGGTTCTGTGTGATCCTGTACCGTCAGATCTGACTCAGATCTGTCTGTCCGGGTTCAGCGCGGCTATGACTGGCTGACGGTGTCTGGGTTGTCAGCTGGTTGCCAGAAGGCGGGGGACTGTGGCTCCTGAGTTCTGTTGGGGTGTGAGTGAGCGTTTCTGGGAAAGGCCAGCTGTCACGTCGGGTGGTGTGTGGCTGAAGTGGGTTCTGTCCAGCTGTGGCTGTCCGCACCCACGTGTAGCACATCCAAATCTGGATCCATTCTGTTGCCTGTGGCTGTGTCCAGTGGGTACCCCCTCTGCCCCATGGGACTGAATAGCAGACTGTACTCTCTGTCGTTATTTGAATATTTATTTAAGCAATCTTCAACCCAGCGTGGGGCTTGAACTCACAACCCTGAGATCAAGTTCCACGGCTCTTCCCACTGAGCCCTCCAGGCACGCCAGGACTCTCTCTTTTTCACCGTGTGTTATGTTCCCCCATGCTCATGCGGGCCTGTGTAAACATACGCGGTTGCCAGCAAATGAAAATACAGGACAGCCGGTTAAATTTGAATTTTAGGTAAACAGTAAATAATTTTTTAGAATAAATATACCACCAATGGGGACATGCAGCCAAGATGTGGCAGCGAGGAGCTGAGCAGATGTTACCAGCGTGGGAAGACAGGCACAGTCCAGCTGACTAAACTCGTGGTGCTGAGGGATGGACTTCAGCCTGGCGGTTTCTTGTCCCAACTCAGCTAAGTGACCCTGGGCAAGTCCTTTGCCCACTCTGGGCCTCGGTTTTCTTACCTGGAATGTGAAGAGCGGGAGAACCTCCAGTCTAAGGACCCAGTATTGTTTCATGCCATGGGCTTGAGGATCCAGGAGACTAAAGCAAAATGGACTGAGGGTCAGAGACCGACAGACCTGGGGGACACACAGCTGGGCCACTTGCCGGCTGTGGGAGCTGGGGCAAGTCATGCCACTTCTTTGTCCCTCAGTGTCCTCATCTACAACATAGGGCATGACAGGAGCACTCCTTTAGGGCACTGTGGAGAGTGAAATGTAAAAAAGCAAGTCAGGCCCATAGCCCAGGGTACTTTTCCTCTGGCAAACCCAAGATACTGGGACTGGCCTGGGTATCGAACTCCCCCTTGCTGAGGGAGTCTTCTCTGGAGGACAGGGGTGCTGGGAGGAAAGGTGCTGCTGCTGAAGTCCTGTCCAGAGCCCAGTTTTCTGGGTTCCACAAGTGTCCCAAGGATAGTTATAAAAGTATGTGTCTGAGGAACCTGGGTGGCTCAGTCGGTTAAGCATCTGAATCTTGGTCACGGCTCAGATCATGACCTCAGGGTTGTAGGGTTAAGCCCTGAGTTGGGCCCTGTGCTCAGCGGGGAGACTGTTTGAGATTCTTTCTCTCCCTCTGCCCCTCCCTCCCCATGATAAATAAATAAAATCTTTTTTTTTTTTTTTTAAGTGTCCAAATGAGGAGCTGCTAACCTAAGATTCTCCCCAACAGCCATGGGAGGCTTCTCACATTCACACTTTCTTTTAATCCACAAAGAGTTATCCTGGTCCCCTTCATGCTGGGCACTGTCTCAGGCACTGCAGACAGAGCAATGGACAAGGCAGATGTAGTCCCTGCCTTGGGATTCCATCAGGCCCAAGTTCACATCCTCAGAGTTACTGATTAGACTTGATCTACCCCCCAGCACATACTATACTTGCACCTGGACAGTGAAAGATCAAGTTTCACATCATGAAACTTGATGTGTACAAGACCGCAAGCCCTCACTTGAAGTCCTTGGGACCAAATGCATTGGAATTCAGAACTTTCCAGATTTCGGCAAGATAATATGGTGCATATGCTATAATTCTGTACACGTCCCCCATAAAGGGCAGAACCCATAAGCAAACCTGTCAATATTTCTACAGAGAAATGTGTGGATACTCATGTTAGATGGCATTTTAAGATTATTACTAACCTCATGTCAGTTCAGGTCAAGTTTTGCAGTGAGTTATAAAAAACTATCAGTTTTTACACCTCTTATGGCTCTGGGGATATAAGAAGTTGAGGGAGCTGCAGTGATCTTCTAAACCTTCTGCTTTTCCTCCCCTCAGCGACCCAGAGGCAAAAATCCTGGACTACCAGACGCAGCAGCAGAAACTCCTCCCTCAGCTGGCCACAGCCTATGCATTCCATTTCCTGGCGAGCAACCTCTTGGAATTCTTGCACAGCTCCTACGATGCCATTCGGAACAAAGACTTCAGCCACCTGCCAGAGGTACCTGCTCTCTGCTGGGGGGGAGGTGGGCAGGAGCTGGGAAAATGGCTGAAATTGTTCCTGCCACTGGGAAGCAGCCCCACTCTTGTTCCCATGAACTCCTTTTACTCCCTCCCCCAGCCTCCCAATATCCCAGGGCACCCAGGGCAAATTGTACCCCAACATATAAATCCACCTACATCTGGCCTCCAGAAAGCTCCAGAAATGCTAGAGGGAATAATCACACATAAAACATAGAACACAGGAGCACAATCCCTGGTGTGAATTTGAAAACCTAAAAAGCTCTGAAAAATTACCGCATCATTGAGAACATATTTGGTGGCATGGTATGACCTGAATTGATCTGATACATCTCACTGGATATGTATACCTTTTGCAGCCAAAAATACTAATGAGTATGATCACTAAGGCTGCCCCAGACTTTTCTGGGTATTATATATAATCTACCTTCAGTGCTCTGCCTTAGCTTTCTAAAATCCAAAAAATAGCAATTCCAAAACCCATCTGGCCCCAAAGGGTCTCAGATGAAAGATTATGGACTTAGATATACACTGCGGTTCTGTCCACCAGACCATGGGCTTCATAAGCATTGGTTCATTAATCCTTCCAGTTGTGCCACTGGCCCCATTTGTAGTTCCATTTTACAGATTGGGAAAGTAAAGCACAGAGATTAAGGGTTATGACCTTCCTCCCAAGGATTTAGAAGCCTGAAAGATGGGTAAGGGCTTTCAAGAACCAAAAGCTCGAACAGGTCTGCTGCGTGGCTGCCCCTCCTACAACCCAGACCACTGGGGTTGATGGTGGACCTCCACGGTCCCAGGCCTGCTCTCCAAAAATTCCACTTGCCAGCAAAATCCATAAGTCCTAGATGATGGTGAGCCCAACTCCAGGAAGGCCCGTCTTCCCGAGATCCTGGAGATGCTGGCGTGGACAGGTTCCCTTTGTTTTTACTGCCCCTACAGCTACATTGCCTCATCGTAGGACCTTGGGCAAGTCACATAACATCTCTGAGCCTCAGCCTCCTCCATAAAGTTGCGAGGGAAATCCTTCTTACTTCACAGGGTTGTCATGGGCATACAGCAGGTGCTCAGTGAATGGGAAGCATGGCTGTTCCTGGAGGGCCCCCTGACTCATCGCGATCCCCTGTTCTTGCAGCTTCACGCCCTGAGCGCAGGCATCAAGGCCATGACGTCAGACTTGTGCCTCCAGGGTTCCGAGCTGTGCCGCCGAGCCTGCGGCGGCCACGGCTACTCGAAGCTGAGCGGCCTGCCCTCTCTGGTCACCAGAGTGACAGCCTCCTGCACCTACGAGGGTGACAACACTGTACTCTACCTGCAGACGGCCAGGTAAGGCCCCTGCGTGGGCTGAAGCAGCGCCCGAGGCCGTCGGCGGGGGCGGGCACCGGGCGGCGCCGAGCGAGCGGAGGCCAGCGCAGTCTCCAGTCCACCCTGAGCTTTCGGTAGAGGGAACAGGAGCACAGCTTTCCCTTGCTTCACAGCCTTCAGGGGCTCCCCACAGCTCACGGGAAAACGCCACGCTGCACCTGCCCCACCGGGTTCCTGCGGCCTGCCCCGCCCCTGGCCCCGCCTCCCTTCCCACGTGCTCTCTCTCTCCCTCGTGCTCCCCCTGCCCCACGGGCTCCCGCTTCGTGCTCTCCCTTCCCCAGCTGGACCCGGTTCCTGTTTCCCATCACAGGCTCCCGGAGCTTCCCTACCCCGAGACCTCTGCCCCAGCCTGCTGGACCTGCTGGTCCTCTCAGCCCTCAGGTCCCGGCTTAGCTGCCCGCCCCGACTGAACACGCCAGGCCTGCACTGAGCCAGGCCTGCACTGAGCGAGGGGCTGTTCTCTGTGAGCCCGAGTTTTGAGGGGCTTGCTCACCGCGGGTCCCTGGGTTTAGCACGGGGCTTGCCCGCAGAGCCTCCCACGTGAGAGGCAGGAAGAGAGGCAGCATTTGCCTCCCCGCAAAGTGGAGGATTCTGTTCATTCTCTTCTGCTGGGGGGCGGCTCAGACTGACAAGGCCTTTCCCGTCCCTAGAGTATTATGGGAGGTTTTCTCAAATGATAAGGGGGCTACAGTATCTTATTTAGACGTGCAGTGCCCCACCATTATAGGAGCATTACAAATATTTCCAGTTTTCACAAACCTTCTATCAAGTGACTGTTATCCCCATCTAGAGATGGAGAAACTGAGGCCAAGGGAGATGAGGTAACTTGGACCAGCCAGAGGTCTTCTGTAGAGCTGCCCTGGAAATCCAGGGTTGGCTGAGCCCAGAGCCTTTAACCACTGGGTCGTCAGAGGAAAGAAGCTGAGAGTCACCTGTAATTCTCCACTCATGTTAGCATTCTTACCCCTGTCCTTTCTCAAGCAAGAAAATTGGATTTCTGCCATCACTGTACAGTTGAGCACGAATCCCCAAATCCCAAGATCCTAACCAGGAGAAAGGATTCTGTTTGCTCAGGTACCAAAAGGGTTTACATTCTGGATCTGAGTGTCTTCACAGCTCCGCAGCTCCAGCCTCCTTTCCCTACGGAAGAGACTACAGCCCCTCGGGGTGCGTTTTCCCGAGGGCCTCACAGCAGGCCGGCTCAGGGGGCTCTGGAGTGAGCATGCCCATGGGAGGGGCAGGAGCCTGCATGGCCCCAGTTCTCCTGTAGGGAGTATAAGACTGCGTGTTTTCCCCACTGCTTACCCGCTTCCCCCGCCCCCACCCCCAGGTTTCTAGTGAAAAACTTCCTGCAAGCTCATGCGATCCCAGGCTCCACACAGAAGTCTCTCCCTCCGTCTGTTGCATACCTGACTGCACCCTACCTGGCCAGGTGCCCAGCCCAGAAAGCAGCTGACTTCCTCCACCCAAAGCTCTACACCACGGCCTGGGCACACGTGGCAGCCAGGTGAGCAAGAAATTGGCCATTCCACCTGGGGGCAGGCTCCTTCCCACACTAGGGCCTTTGGAGCAGGCTGGGTGAGCATTCGTGGATACTCCTCTGAGAACAACCCCCCCCCTCCCCAACCTCGGTCCTCTCGGTTCCTGCCACCATGGGCAGAGAAGGGGAAGCCACATCCATGAGCCACCATCACTTCCCCATCCTGGCCGAGCTGGTAGAAGGACATCAGCCCTCTGGCCAGTGCAAGGAAATTCTTTTTTTTTTTTTTTAAAGAAATTTTTTTAAAAAGATTTATTTATTGAAGAGTGAGAGAGTGAGAGCATGAGCAGGGCAGGGGCAGAGAGAGAAGCAGACTCCCCACTGAGCAGTGGCTTGCTCCTAGGACCGAGACCATGACCTGAGCTGAAGTCAGCAGCTCAACCAACTGAGCCGCCCAGGCGCCCTGAACTTTTTCTATCTTTAGGCGCTTACTGTGATTTGCAGTGCAATGAATGTGCCCATTTGTAAATACCACAAATCTATCAGTATGTAAATACTGATAAATAATAAATACCAATACTGTATTTAAAATATCCCACAAACTGGGGCACCTGGGTGGCTCAGTGGGTTAAAGCCTCTGCCTTCGGCTCGGGTCATGTCTCAGGGTCCTGGGATCGAGCCCCGAGTTGGGCTCTCTGCTCGGTGGGGAGCCTGCTCTGCCCCCCCCCACCGCCTGCCTCTCTGCCTACTTGTGATCTCTGCCTGTTAAATAAATAAAATATTTTTTAAAAAATAGAAATTTAAAAATAAAACACCAAAACAAGCTGGAAGAAATATTATCAGTATATGAAAAGAGGTCTTATACCCCTACATGTGGTCGAAAGGATGGCTAATAATTATTTCAAGATCACAAGCAACTTTGGACATCCATTTATTTATTCCACAAATACTAAGTGCCTACAGGGCACCAGGCACTATTCCAGGCATTTTAGATTTATCAGGAAACCAGTCGCAAAAAGCCCAGGCCTCACAGAACTAATGTTTTAGTTGGGGGAGGTGGTGAGTGCCCAGTAAGGCTTCTCAGGGTAGTTAAAATGCCATTATATTGATTTTTGCTTGGAATTCGATGTGACATCTGTTTATCTACTCCCTGACAAGTAAGAAAAATAAATGTTGCTTAATAAACAGTGTGTTTTGCGTAGAAATTCCAAGGGTCATGAGTGGATGGGCAGGGAATAGAAAATAAAAGAATAAAGGTTACGTACATGGCAAATGACCGACTTAGTGGTTGGGGGACAAGAGTTTGTTTAGTTTTCTTTTCTAGCCTTTTAAGGTCCCTTAGGTAGAACCTGGAATAGGCCGGATGACTGACAGGTGTCAGTAGCCTTTACAGGAAAACCATTGTCCTTGCTCAGCCACAGAAGGCAGTCAAGGGATGGCGTGGAAACCCTGGCATAAGGTGGCGTCTGCATTAGAAAGGAGGGTCAGTGCCCGTCCCAGAGCCCTGAGGCTTTCCAGCTCCGAGGTTAGGACAGCTCTACCCCTTACTAACTGTGTGACCCCAGACCAGTTAAGTGAGCCAATCTGGGACTCAGCTTTCCCCGTTGTAAATTGGGAATGCCTAGCCTTACAAGGGTTAGAGAGATAATGTATAGTCACCATTTAGCTTTGCAACACAAACCAATGGTCAATCAATGGGAATAACTGCATTTCTACTTCTGAGGGATCCCCAGGTAGCCTGAGACCAGACTCCATCAGTGTCCTTCCCACTCAGTCAGAAAGTGGAACCTTCTTTTTTTTCCTCTGGCCTTCAGGCTCATAAAGGAATCAGCGCATCACCTAGAGACTCTGATGCAATCTGGGGCTGACTGGGATAAGGCATGGAACCAGACCACGGTCATACACCTCCAGACTGCTAAGGTGAGCTGCCCCTCAGCTGAAGCGCCAGCTGAAAGGGACCTGTTTGTTTCCCCAGCAGACCACCACGCTGAGAAAATCTGAGCTCTGCCATTATTCCCCAGCCCTGCTCCGTGGCTGCCCTCATTTCACTTCCAAGGCTTTCGTCCAGGGTATTTTAATTAAAGGACTTAACTCCAAAGCAATCTTGCTGACAGCTCTTAGGGAAAACTGTAATGAGGCAGTGTTACTGGATTTGCTTCAGGTTGTTCAAATATTTCCTCCCAGATAGAAAAGCAGGTCAAGTCTCCCTTTAGCCCCACAGGCAAGCCTTAGATGTCTGATTCAATTTCTACTATGTTTTGTGTTTGTGCATAATTCACATTCAGTCAGCAAATATTTGAGCACCCGCTCAACACCAGGCATGTGTTGGGGGCTGGGGCCTCCATGGTGCCCTTACACCCAGTGCCATCAAGGCAGCACTGTGATGGGGAGACACAGGCTACCGTGGGATCCCAGAGAGGTGCAGCTCTTACCCGGCGTGAGGATCCTAAAGGCTTCCCAGAAGGGACATAGAGGCCAGAACTTCAAGGAGGAGCTGAAATTAGCCAGGCAAAGGGTAGATGCTGTGGTTTGGGAAACAAAGGTTTCCTGGCAAAGGGAACAGCAGGTGGAAAAGGAAGAGGCAAGAAAAGGCACGGTGCTTGAAGAAATGCAAATCCTCCCAAGGAGGAGCTCAAGGAGGAAGACTGAACCCAGGAGAAGAAGGCAGTTAGGGGATGGGGAAAGATAGGCAAGGCCTGGGACCTTCTGCCTCACTGTGAGCAGTTTGGTTTTGTTCTCATTGCCATGGGAAGCCTTGGCCGACTTTGTATCATGGGAGTGAGGTGATCAGAGTTTCACCGTAGAAGAATCATGCAGGCTGCCTGGGGAGCAATGGACTGGAGGCTGGAAGCCAGTTAGGAGCAAGCAGCAGCAGTCTGGTCAAGGGCTGAGGATGGTCCCGACCATGACCTTGGCAGAGGGCATGGAGAAGAGTGGGTGGATACAGACATATTAAGGGGGTAGGAGATAGCGACAGGCTTCTTAGAGTAGTGGGCTGGGAAAGAGGTTGAGTCCTGAGCTCTAGCTTAGGCAGCTGAGACTCTGGCCCTACCTACAGCTGGAAAACCAAGATGAATGCTCGGATCCTCAAGCAACGGGCCCAGGAACTGGCAGGAGAGTCCGAGGAGAGCTTTGTAACGCCCTCACTGCACAGGCTGGGCATGAGCGCCCCCTGGTGACTTGCCCCCTCTACCACAGCAGCTGGTGCTGGTCTTACCCCGGCCACCATCCTCCAGGCTGTGTCCACCGCAGGAGCACTGCCTGCTGTGCTAAATGTCCTATCAACACAGGGGAGGGTGAGCCAAGGCTGTGTTCTCACCAGACAAGCACAAAAGGAACCCCAGCTGCCCATGATGCATCCATTTTCCAAACCTGTGCTCTGCCTTCCAGTGGAGTGGACCCTGCATGCCAGGGTTACCTCATTTAGTACATACCACCCTGGGGGAGAGAGCAGCATAATCTCCATTTTAAGGATGAGGAACCAGAACTCAAAAGAATTAAGTCCCAGAAGTAGAAAATAGTTAAGATGCTTTGCTTTCCTTTCCCTCACAGAGGCAAGCTGTGTCCTCAGGGAGCCACTATGTGTAAGGGAGGGAGGTGATCCCTGAGTTCTAGGGTTACTGAGGGTAGAGAGTTCCACCAGCCTAGAGGAGAAGAGCAAGTCCCTTCTCCTCCAGCCATTGTAAGCTGAAGAAGAGTGGCTTCCAGGGGAGATGGTGCCCAAGCTGACTCTCCGAAGTCAGAAGGGGCAGGGAAATCTGCAATTTCTGAGCTTCGTGCTTTGGAAGAACTATCTACTCTACAGAACTCTTAAGCTCCCACCAAGTCCCATCTAGAAACCATAAAAATGCAGGTAGAGAGTGAGCAACACAAGGGGAGTGGGAACAGTGGCAGAGTGGTGGCCTAAGTTCTGTTCCCAGCTCTGTGCATGACCGGCTTCTCTATGTGACCTCCAGTGTCCTTCCTTCTCTAGGCTGTAACTTCCCAGTCTGTAAAACAAAGGGGCATGAAAAAGGCCTTTAGGTTCTGACAAGTTCTGGTCCTATTATCTGAGACCCTGCTCTGGAGAGAGGTCTGTCCCTAGGGCCACGGGAGCAAATGCTGGTCCTCATTCTAATCCAGCCTTGGTCTCTCATGGCTTTGGCAACGCAGGGGAGTGGTGAAGAGTACAGACGCTTAACAAGGAGATGGACTATTTTGGTGTGGATCTTGTTACTACCACTTGCTAGCCAGGTGACCTTGGGCAAGGAAGTTAATCCCTCAATGCCTCAGTCTCCTCATCTACAAAATGGAGCCAATCATAGTACCTACCTTTTAGGATTATTATGGAGATTAAATGAGTTAATACATGTAAAATGTAAAATGCACCTAGCATATAAATGCTACACATCCCACCCCACACACCAAACTAGTCAGGAGGCAAGGTTTAAACCAACACACAAAAAGTAGATAGAGTTCATTGCATTTGGAGCATGGTGCCAAAGTTCAGCTCACCCGGTCACCGGAACAGAAGCCACAGAGGCCAAGGCCCTTGAGCAGCTTTTTCTCACTCCACTCCACAGCCCGGGGCCCTGAGAGTTTAAGGATGTGGTCCTCAGATGAGAAAAGGGAAGCCGGGTCTGTCTGACTCAGCATGGGCAGCAACGCACATCTGCTCCCCTTCTGCACCCAACTGCTGCGAACCCAGTGTGGTTGTGAGCACACCAGGTCCATGTGGCAGAGTGTGTCGTTAGCCCCCATGTGAGACCTCCATGGGAAAGGCAGATCCTTTCCAAGTGAGAAACCTGATGGGCTCACTTTCCTGTTGAAGACTTTGGTGGCTCTCCGACCCCCACGGAAAGAAATCCCAACTGATGTGATCTGTTGTGGGTCTCGGGAGTGAATGGTCAAGAAAGAATTCTTGAGCCATTTTCGGTGCAAAAAAGGTGGTTTTATTAAAGCCCAGGGGCAGGACCAGTGAGCAAAAAGAGCTACCCTGGGAGTATGAGGAGCAATTGATTACATACATTTAAACTGGGAGGGGTAGAGACAAAAGGAGTTTCCAAAAGGATTTTCATACATTCGAGAAGACTTACTGGATCCTGGAGGCCCAGTTATTGTCAAGCTAAGGTGTTTTTTTCCCTCTAGCAAGGCATTAACATGAAGACAGTTCAGTTGTGCAGTTCAGTTCCTGGAGGAATGTCATACTCTGTCTGTCTCAAGTATTTGTCAGTGGGCTGCAAGTTAGAGGAAAATTTCATCTTATCTACATTTCTTTTGCCTTTGTTCCCCACTTCCCCAGCCATGTGGATCACAGCCCTTCACTGGCATGGGGCTATGTGGGGGGGCAGCCTCACCACTGCAGGTAGGTCATTGCCTCACTGTGCCCCAGGAGGCACCCCCAGCAGACTGGGTCAGCCTCCTGCGAGCACAGTCCAGTGCGCACGCAATAACCCCGGCCCTGTCCTTGCCCCTTGTCAGACTTCTTTGAACCCTCCAGACAGTCTAAGCCTTGTTACTTAAGGCATTACTGGGAAGCTACCTGGAAATTTGCATTTTCAAGAGATGCTCAGCTGATCTGTATGCACATAAACATTTGAGAAGAGTTTTGTTTGCTTGCCTTTTCTCCCTCCCCCCAATGGAATTCATATACCTAACCTGATAACAATAATGTGCATTTGTCTTGGGGAGAAGGGGAATATTCAAAAATATTCAACAACCAGCAGGGAGGCTCAGACTAATCAGAAAGCACTACAGGCCTAACGGAAGCAGGGGCCTGAAAGCCTCCTGCTGGGTCAGGCATTCATCCTTTATATGCAGAGCTGTGGGGAGGAGGGGGTCCCAGGGAAGGATCCCGGCTTGACAGAGAGGGGAGTCTCACTAGGTTGAGGGCTGTGGTCACTTACCAAGTGGAACTACTGACAAAGCCAGACTGTTGGGTATGGGTGAACTAACAGCCCTGCTTACCTTGCAGAGTTTACTTTCTAGCTGGGATACATTTTATGTCCATCATGTACATCTACTTTCTTACCCCAAGACACACAAAAGCACACACACACACACCCCGCTGCCGTGAACACGGCAAACGACAAACAGCTGTTTTCTTCAGAAATGTGGTGCCGTCCTCCACTGTCTCCAGGCCAGCCTCCAATACCCCTGTATTCTTTGTACTTTCAAACCTCCTTGAAATTTCCCCAAACAAAATCAGGACGCTACCAAGTCCCAGAGCCCACAAGCCCCCAACCGGAGCACATGTGCGAACACATATTCACACGCACACACACACCTCCATGGGGACCCGTGGTGAGCTCGGGGGGGGGGGGGGCACGTGGCCACAGCGACCTCACCCCAGCAGTCTTGCCCAGCTTCCAAGATGACTTCTGGAGTCAGAAATCAGAAGCTGATGGATCTTCGTGTCTTTTAGGCACACTGCTACTATATCAGTGTGAAGAGCTTTACAGAAACTCTGGAGAAACTGGAAAACAAACCAGCGGTTCAGCAGGTGCTCAAACGCCTCTGTGACCTCTATGCTCTGCACAGCATCCTGACTAACGCTGCTGACTTTCTCCATGATGGCTTCCTGTCTGGGGCCCAAGTAGATGCGATGAGAACCGGCTACCTGGAGCTGCTCGGCCTCATCCGGTGAGTGGCTGGCCCCCAGACCCTCAGATTGTGCTAATCTTCAGAGAAGAGCCCCACACCCTTAGTTCCCTTCCCACTCCGAAACCTGGCACTCCAGGACCTTGCTAAACAGGGTCCCGCAGAAGCAGCAACCACCCTGGAGAGCACAGTTACCTCAATGTAAAGCGTGATAGATTAATGAAAGGAAAAAAATGAAAAAACAATTAGAAATAAAAATGCTTAAAAACAAATAATCGCCACCAAATACTCTTCAACACTGTAAAGGAAATAAGGAGAGTATCTAAAGGAAGCATCCCACCGTATTCATAGTATGCACAGATAATATTAATGAGTCTTCTTCATAGCTCGTATTTAAGGAACACATATATGTGCCAGGCATTATGCCAAAAGCTTTCACATGCATCATCTCACTTAATCCTTACAGCCTTCTGAAATGAACACTATTAATCTCCCCATTTTACTGGGGAGGAAATTCAGGCTGAGGGGAGGAAGTACCTTGCCCCAGGTCTCAGAATCAGCCAGGGGAGATCAGGGGGCACTCTGGGGCCTGACCTGAGAATATGCTCTTCAACTGTGTTAAAGTTAAGGTGGGCAATTATGTTTCAAATATATCCTTGTCTTTTTGAATGGGCTGAGGCAAACCCTTACTAAGTGGGCTAAACTTACTTTAATCCTTGCTCAGCTTCATGATGATTTTTTTTTAAAAACCCGGTCTTCGAACACAGATTCAAAAAGCAATAATACAAACAGTTCTTAAATGCACGCAGTTCAGGGTCATGACCTACTAATGCGGCCCTTCCATTCTGTTACATTGTATATAATCTAGAGGATCACTTTAAAAACATTGAAATCAAAGCCCCAACCTGAACACAGCACTGGAAGAAACAAACAAAACAGGGTAGGCACTGTTGTCTCTAGGATAAAAATGGGCTACTTGAGAGTGCAACCTTTTCTGAGAAAATAGGATGACTGTTTCATGTGGGGTGGTATCATGTGTGTGTGTGTGTGTGTGTGTGTGTGTGTGACTTTTCCCCTAGAACCTCCAATAGTTCACACTATCTATAAGACTAAGATGATAAAAAAGGCCAATAAACTACTTGTTACAAAGTTTTTTTAAAAAATCTAGATCAAATTATTTTTATTTCTAACAACATGCAACATGCTACAGACCATTTATGAGTCCATATAAGCACCTAACAGATATTCAGTGGTCAGCAAATGTTCAATTAAACCATCAAAAACTGTCAAAAATACATTTTTTACAAGTATGGCCCAGGTATTAAACTTTTCCTAATAGAGAGAATCCAGTGGTGAGAACCATTAATAGCAGAACTGAGTATTACACAGGTCAAGCTCAAGTGTACCTAATTCTGAAATGCTTGGCGTTTTATTATTTTTTTAAGATTTACTTATTTAGGGACGCCTGGGTGGCTCAGTGGGTTAAAGCCTCTGTCTTCGGCTCAGGTCATGAACCCAGGGTCTTGGGATCTAGCCGCGCATCAGGAGCCTGCTTCCTCCTCTCTCTCTGCCTGCCTCTGTCTACTTATGATCTCTGTCAAATAAATAAATAAAATCTTAAAAAAAAAAAAAGATTTACTTATTTATCTGAGAGACAGAGAGAGAGTCTGAGTAGGGCATGGGCACTGAGGGAGAAGGAAAGAGAGAGAATCTTCAAGTAGACTCCTGCTGAGCACAAAGCCCAAGGCACAGGGCTCTGAGATCATGATCTGAGCCACAGTTAAGAGTCAGGGGCTTAACCCTCTAAGTCACTGGGCACCCATGAAATGCTCCGCATTTCAAAGCGTATGAAGTCAGTAAGATTCTAGCCTGATTGACAGAGATGAAACACAAAATATCACCCTAACACCTCAGAAGCATGATTTTTTAAATCTGCAACAGCATTTCTAGGTGCTTACCTTGGTGCCAGAGACTTACAACTTAAGACCAACAGCACTGACACAAACAGGCAACTTATGCATGCATCTAACCCACAAACTGATTTACGCACATTATGGTTCTTTTTTTTTTTTTTTTTAAGATTTTATTGATTATTTGACAGAGAGAGAGAGATCATAAGTAGGCAGAGAGGCAGGTGGTGGAGGGGGGTCAGCAGGCTCCCCACCAAGCAGAGAGCCCAATGTGGGGCTCGACCCCTGGACCCTGAGACCATGACCCAAGCCGAAGGCAGATGCTTAACCCACTGAGCCACCCAGGTGCCCCCATGTTATGTTATGGTTCTTAAGTAACCTTCCTATCACTGCAAGGGTGTTAGGTATGTAACAGACATCGTGCGTGTAACAGTTCTGTGTCACAGTTCCCTCCCTTGATTACTTAGTATCACCCTCTGATTTCTGAGATGACAAATGAAGGATGGCACACTATTTCATGTGACACTAAGAACCAGCTCTCTGTGTAACGGTAATTAACTGACCCACAGTTAACAGTTATTTAAGGGGTCGTAAAATCTCAGGTGGAGGACAGACAGGTGAAGACAGCAGACTGACCATATACATTTACTTTTGTTCCCTCCTGAAACCCCATGAAAATACCAGCAAATGGATTAAAATCTTTTTAAAGGTATAAATTGACAAAAAGAAAAAACAAGGGATGGGTGCCTGGGTGGCTCAGTTGGTTCAGTGACTGCTTTCGGCTCAGGTCATGATCCTGGAGTCCCAGTATTGGGTCCCACATCGGGCTCCCTGCTCAGCAGGGAGTCTGCTTCTCCCTTTGACCCCTCCCCCCTTCTCATGCTCTCTTTCAGTCTCTCTCTCAAATAAATAACTAAACAAAAATTTTAAAAAGAGAAAAAAAAAAAAAAACTGGGGAGGAAACGTGAAAATAAGAAAGTAGATGGACAGTGACTTAGCAGATCTGAGAAAAACTGGATCACAAACCAGGAGTGGGAAACAAGTTATACCAAAGAACCCCAAGAACTAACAGCACTGTGTACGTCTGGCAATCAGGGTGAAGGTAAGACCCACAGGAGGGGCTGAAAGTCTATTTCAGAAGGAGCTGAACTCCTAGCTCCCCTCCTTCTCTGCAAGCAGTTTTGAGATTCTCTGACTCTCTGACACAGATGGTCTGTGGGCCAGGGAACATCGAGCATAGTTGAGAATGAGGCTACCCACAGAAAACAGGGGCCTGGATAAATGTTTATAGGCTAAGTGCTAACCTAAGCCCCCTCCCTCAGCCCTCTTTCCCCTGGGTTCCAGAAAACTGGCAGCCAGGCCAGTAGCTACAGGAAGACGATAGCATGCTCCTTCTCTGGAGACTCTGAACAGCCCAAAGGAGACAAAACTGAAGATACTGACACACGGGTCCCCCCAGTTCACCCCATAGTGAATCCCACACATTGACAAGCATGCCCAGACTTGTAATCAGCTAGCTAGTGCCCCACTCTTAGCTATGATTAGACACCTGGGGGGGGGAACCCCTGACATAAAAGAGACCCCAACAAGCAAGAATGAAACAAAATGGACTGCACAAGAGAATCTTCAGGGAAAAGGAATCTTTTTAAAAAGATGAGTAATATCCTTAAAGAGTTAGGAGGAGATACAGCAATCACAAAATAAGATTTCTTAAAAAGTAATATTCAGGGGGAAAAAAAAAAGATGTCTGTGAAACCAGAAAACGATAGTGGAAATGAAAAACTCAGCGGAAGGACCGGAAGAGAAAGTTACATAAATCTCACAGAAAAGAAACCAAAAAGACAAAAAGATAAAAATTAGAAAAGATAAAAATAGTAAGAAGACTGATCTTATCTGTCCATCATCTGAAAAAGAGGTCTAGAAAGGGCAGACAGAGAAAATAGAAGGGAACAAACCATTATCAGAATAATTCAAGAAAATACTCCTCAAATGAAGAGCACAAGTTTCAGACTGAAAAGGCCATGGGTGTTTACAGACTAGAGGAGACAAATACACACGGAAAAAATAAGTCAAGCATACAGTGTGCAAAATGGTAAGTAAATGCTATGAAGAAAAGGAAAGCAGGGAAGGGGATCAGGAATGCTGGGAGTGCAAAGCAGGGTGGGGGGCGGGGGACTGTAGTTTTCTTTTATTTTTTAAGGATTTTACTTTTAATCTCTATGCCAAAGGCAGGGCCCAAACTCACAACCCCAAGATTAAGAGTCACCCTCTACTGACTGAGCCAGCCAGGTTCCCCAGGGACTATAGTTTTAAATAAGTCAGATAAGGCCTCTCAGGGAGGGTGATGTTTGAGGAAAGATCTCAAGGGGTGGGGACAGGAGAGAAGCCATGGGGTTGGCTGGGAAAGGAGCACCCCAGGCAGAGAAGTACAAACGCTGGAGGCGAGAGCATGCTTCGCGCCTCCACCCAGAGAACAGACAACAGTGACTGAGGTGGAGGAAGGACAGCAGAGGTCAGAGAGTTTAGGGTGTACCGGGCCAGGGGCGAAAGGGGGTGGAGATCATCGCAAAGACTTAAGATGTTGGCTCTTACTTTGTGTGAGAGTGGGAGGGTTTTCAGTATTTCAATCATCTGATGAATTTTTCTAAAGGATCATTCCAGCTGCCATATTAAGAAGTGACTGGGCAAGGTGGGGGGGTGGATAAAAAGCAGGGAGCCCAGCTCGGAGGTTACCTCAGTAATCCATGGGAAAGATGATGCTGGGTTAGACTAGGTGATAGCACTGGAGGTAGTGGGAAATGGCTGAAGTTTGGGTGTATTTTGAAGGTAGAACGGGATTTGCTGACAGATCAGATGTGGGGTGTAAGCGACGGAGAGCAGCACAGGTTTTTGGCCAGGACAGAGTTGCCATTCGCTATAAATGCACCAGGTTTGGGCAGGATGTGCAAAAGGTGTAGAAGATCAGGAGTTTGGCTTTGAACATGTTCACTTTGAAGAGCCTGTTAGAAATCAAGTAAGATGTTAATAAGCAGGTAAGTGAGACGGGAGAGATAAATTTGGAAGTCATTAGCATATCGCTGGTATTTAAAGCCCTCAGAAGGATATCACACGGAGTGACTGTAAAAGACAAGTACTCACATGGAGTACTGAGTCTTGGGACCCTCCAAAGAGGAGGAGAGGAGGTGGCCCTGCCAAGGGCTATTTCAGTGGAGTGGTGGAAGTGAAAACCTGAACGGATCTAGTCTAGGAGAACAGGTGGAGAAGAAAAAATAGCAAAGCATAAACAAGAACAACACTTTTAAGGAGTTTTATCATAAAGGGGAGCCAAGATCTGGAGTAGATGATGGAGAGGGAAAAATAGACTCAAAAGTTTGTTTTCAAGATGGGAAATAGGAAAGCACGTGTGTATCTGAAAATGATCCAGTGGAGAAAGATTTTGACATTGTAGAGGAAAGGCAAGAGAATTTCTAGAATGTTCTCTAGTAGGCAAGAGGGGAAGGCATCTAATGGACGAGGAAGGACTGACGTGAGCTGGGCACTTGAAAGCGTACCTATACTAAAAACAGAGAAAGCATGCAGAAATACATGGGTGAGAACTTGTGGCTAGGCTCTTACTGAGTCTATTTTATCAGTGAAATGGAACCAAAAGTCATCTAAGTAAGAGAGATGGGGAGGCGGGTAGTGTGGATTTAAGATTCAGAGAGAAGGTGTGAAATAATCATCTAAGAGAATGGGAGTGTAAAGGCATGAGAGCAATGTCGTACGATCGCTAGGCAGCAGGAAGGGAGTTACATACACCACTTGGAACTGGTTTCCCAGCCACCTATAGCTACAAAGGCACAGAGTCAGTAAAAAACCGCTGAATCTGTTTTTGAGGGAGTAAATGTAACAGACCAGGCATTTCACTGAATAAGGAAGGAAGGGAGGCCACCAGGAGGATGAGGGACATGAAGTAAGTGGTGGGTGTGGATAGGGTCAAAGAAGTGCGAACAGCCTGAAATGGAAATGCTCTCACAGTGATGGTGAAGGATCACCCAGAGAAGATGACAACAGGTAGGTACAGTATCCCAGTCAGCTCAACTGCTTTGGGTGTGAACAATGGCAGTGTTATGCTTTAGATCCTTTCCTTAAAAAAGGAAGAGAAGCATGTGAACATTTGTTTAAAATACCTCATTCAATAGGCTAAAATAAAACATATTTCGTTGAATGAAAAAGAAAAAGAAGGTGGGGGAGCTATCAGAGTCAGAACTCTAGAGGGAGTAAGCTAAAAGGGCCGGAGCCAGCAACAGGAAGACACCCCACATCTCCATCCCAGAAAAGGTGCCTATGTGGAGGACTGAGACCTGGGGAGGGCTCCTGCCGGGGAGTGACAGCGCAACAGGATCAGCGGAGAAGATCCCAGAATGTTGAGGCCACATTGTAGAGGAACATTCATGTAAGCAATGAAATCACTAAGGATGATGACAGAGGAAATGGGGGAGAGAAGCAGCAGACCAGGAGGTACATCACGAATGGAGAGACCTGGTAGGGACACAGCTCAGCTGTGAGCAGGATACATAAAGTCACCATCATACACACACATACAGCCATCACAGTGGAAGCCCCTAATGCAAGTCTGACTCATAACTATACTAGGAGCAGGAAGGCCGAGGAGAAGCAATGCCAGGGCTGGGGCAGGGCGGGGGGGGGGTTGGGAAGAAAGGATGACATATAGGGGTGAAGGTAGGGGACCAAAAACATATCCTTATCTTTTTGTAATGGAGAATTGACAGATAATATCTAAAACGGAACAATCCAGAAGTGGCAATCCGAACAAGATAGAGACATTCAAAATATATCAGCTTAAAGACTGAAACGGATTCCAGGGGTGGGGGAAGTAGAAGGGAGACAGGGAGGTGCTGATTTTAAGTAGCAGGCCTTGAAGATTGCTGGAGTCTATACTTGTGTAGAGAACAGATCAAAAATCAAAACTTCTAAAAAAATTTAAAGCTGAGTTGTTAAAAAGTGAATAATGATCAAGTCTCTAATTAGGTGTTGTTATTCACCATCCCTGATTAATTAAATTCATAAGAGCAATCTAAAATACTCACAAACTCTTGTTTTCTCTTACAGGAAGGATGCCATCTTGTTAACTGATGCCTTTGACTTCACGGATCCCAGTTTAAATTCAGCACTTGGCTGTTACGATGGAAATGTCTATGAACGTCTGTTCCACTGGGCTCAGAAGTCACCGACCAATACTCAGGTAGTTGAGTAGAACACATTATAAATTATGTAAGAGAGCAGAGAACAAGCAGTGAATTCACCTCCATGTTTTCTCATTTTAATTGATCCCCATTAGATTGGAAATTGCTTGGCATAGCATGTCTGTTGAAAATATTTTGAGAATACATAAAAGAAACCAGGAGTGGGGATATGGCCCGGCAGGAACAGAGTCGACTGTAATCAGCAAAAGGCATTGCTCAGAATTTGGTAAAGGGAACGGGGAGGAAGATCCAGGCTCTAAGTCATGGCTTGACATACCCAAGGGCATATAAACATAGTGGCAGACTGGCTTTTAAATAACAAAAATAAATCATTGCAGTGATTTAACCATCTTATTTTCGGCCTTTTAACTCTTAGTTTTGTGTTGATAAAAATGGGTACTCAGGGGATAGGAGCTTGGGATGTGGGGGAGCACTCTCAGATCTGACCATCTGCTGGAGACACCTCCTTTCTCTGCATCGAGGAACACAGCCCCAGGAACAAAGAAGGCTGCTGCAGGGCCATCGGCAGCCCAGGAGAGCCGTATAAATGACCATTATGAGGGTTATGGCAAAAAGACCCCCAGCTGTCCTAAGAGAGAATACCAGAACTCTGTGTCATTGACAGGAGAGGGGAGGACTCCTAAAATCCTAACGATCGAGGGCCCGCATCACAGACCCTCTGCTCTAAGCCTCACTGGAAAAGGTTATGAATGTCAATGACTCCAATTACTGGAGTAAAGAAATAAACCCTATTTTTAGAGTGTGGTAAGCCACCTTTAATAGCAGATTTTATACAGATGATCAAAACAAAGATAATCTATAGATACGCAACAGATTATTTTAAGCTCTATAGTGCAAATATGTTACTCAGGGAAGCCTACTCTTTTACCCCTTAGGTCAAATTTCAGAAAAGGTGTCTTAACGCCTCATAAAATTGGCAACTCTCAGACTTTCATTCACACTTAGCGTGGTGTTAGACTTGCTCTTCACATTTTGCATCCTGTCATACCTCATAGCTTAATCTACCACGATTATCTAAAATTAGAACACAACTGGTCACCTCCAAGATGCTTGTCAGAAGGCCAATCCATTTTGGCCACTCCCCGTCTCCAGGGAGGCATCCTTTTAACCTGACAAGAAAATAGAAAGAACTCACCTAGAGAAAGGTTGATACATTTACCGCTTCATACAGTCAAGCTACTTCTGGCGTTTTACTTTTTCTAATAATTAGATCTCCCTGCTTTCTACTGTTTAAATCCTGGCGTGAAACAGCAGACCTCCTACTCCAGGTGAGCTCCTGTGGTCTAAGGATAACTGTATTATGCCCTTTGATGCGCCGGCGAGAAACCGAGCCTGCCGTACACCTGCCAGCAAATGCTGATCTATCTAGCTCAGACCTGCTTAACTAGCAATACGAGGAGGAAACATGCCAGTTCTGATTCCTCATCTTCGCTAAAGAACATAGGGAGTGCCTTGGTTTGTCTTGTTGTTTTTTACACTTTGTGTCTCCTCTTTATTTATTTTTTAAAGATTTTATTTATTTATTTGACAGACAGAAATCACAAGTAGGCAGAGAGGCAGGCGGAGAGGGAGGAGTGGGGAAGCAGGCTCCTCGCTGAGCGGAGAGCCCGATGCGGGGCTTGATCCCAGGACCCTGAGATCATGACCTGAGCCGAAGGCAGAGGCTTTAACCCACTGAGCCACCCAGGCGCCCCTCCTCTTTACTTTGAAAGCACTGAATCTGGATACTGTATGAGGGCAGGTTTATGGAAATGAGGGACATGACTGGTCCATGGCATCAACAGACCTGGTAAAATGTTGATGTATTTCATCCCATTCACTTCTGTTTTTCCTTTTCTCCTGCTACTTGACTGTGAACAAGGAGGGAGTCTTCCTCTTCCTAAGTCCAGGATCTGTCTCAGAGTAGACACTTTCTATTTATGGAATAAATGAACACAGTTTTATAATCCTCACAGCGGGCCGGAGAACCTGCTGTAGACACCGTAGGTGCTTTAGACTTCCTGCCCATTGTGGCTTACGTCACTTGGCTAAAAGGGGGCCAGGTATAGCAGTGTGGCTCTTCCACGCACAGTAATTTGGGCATGTGAGGTTATCAGTGACCTTGGGGAATTGTTGCCAGTTAGTTAAAATGGCAGTCGGTTGACCACTGACATAGAGCCACATAATCTTCTATCACTGGCTTCTTGAGAGTCTACCGAAATAGCACTTTTAATGTATGTATTTCTAATCTGCTATAGATAATTCTGAAGCTGCAATGAGACATTTTCCCCCTTCATTTGCGCTAGTAGAAAAAGGCACGTGACAGGTATTTCAAGTAAATTAAAACAACAGCTACGTTAAAACACGCCTTGAAGACACAACATTACAAACGGGAATATACTTCATCAACATTTTCTACCAAAAGAAAAGTGCTATGCTAAGTTAAATGTCTTAACTTAAACTCAAACCGGGGCAGGTTGAGTGTTGAGCTCTATCCCTAGATAGGACGATCTGCTTTCTCATAGTTTCCTCTAGCCATGGTGTGTTTTCTGGCTTTTTTCCTGAGCTGGGTGCTATTTCAAGCCAGATTCTCCAAAGGAATCGCAAAAGGCTGTTCCTGTTCCCGACGTGAATTCATATTTAAGCGATTACCTATAGATGCAAACAGCGCAAGAATCACTGAGGATTTCAAAACAAGAATCCTATATCCCCTAGGTATTCTACTGTAAAATTTGTCCAAGTAGCTGCTAGAAGCATTAAACATACCTACTGATTCATTCAGTCAGTCGGTCATTCAGTAAATATTTATTGAGCATATGCTATATGCCAGAAACTATTCTATGTACTAAGGCTACAGTGGAGAACAAAAGAATCATAGATCCTGTCTTCGATGAGGAGCTTCAAGTTTTAGCCAAGACAGGCGAAAAGTTTAACAAACAAGTTAACATAAAAGATGAGGCTAGAACTGTAAAGGAAAGAATCAAGACACACAGTAATGAACAATGGGGACTAACCTACTCTGACATAGAATCTTGATTACCTTAGGCCACCTTCTGATTCCTTGCTTTGTGGTTAATGTTCAATTTCAAAGAACCTCAAAAAGTCAAGCATTTTATTTGTATTAAATTCCAAAAGCAAATGATAAGCTGTTTCTTAGTTGGCCACCTGCATCCACAATTTAAAATCTGCATGAGAAAAGGAAGGATGCCCTTTGGAAAAAATGTTTCTCCATATGTTCACACAAAATGCCTTTAAAAAATAATTTTTAAAATTAAGAATCTTATGTAATGTTACTTTTTTGAAACTAAAAACTTAATTTGAAGGTAGAAGTCATTAATCCCAGCAGAAATAATGTCCTAACGATGCACTTTTTTCTACAAATAGGGGAACCCTGCCTATGAGAAATACTTAAGACCGCTATTACAAAGCTGGAAATCCAAGCTGTGAAGTCATCAACGGCATTCAAGAGGCACCACTGTGTGATAATGGTACTATGGCATATACAGCATTAAATTTCAAAGTATGCTTCACATACACATTATATATTTCAAAGTGCATATATATATTGTTTTTAAGATTTTTTTTAAATTTTATTTATTTATTTGACAGAGAGTGAGCACAGGCAGATAGAGTGGCAGGCAGAGGCAGAGGGAGAAGCAGGCTCCCCGCCGAGCAAGGAGCCCGATGCAGGACTCGATCCCAGGAGGCTGGGATCATGACCTGAGCCGAAGGCAGCTGCTCAACCAACTGAGCCACCCAGGCATCCCAATATATATATTGTTTTTAAAGTAAGCTCTAGGGACACCTGGCTGGCTCAGTCAGTTAAGCATCTGCCTTTGACTAAGGTCATGATTTTGGGGGTCTTGTGGTCCTAGGATGGAGCCCTGCATTGGGCTCCCAGCTCTGGGGAGTCTGCCTCTCCCTCTGTCCCCCACTCCTGCTGTCTCTCTCTCTCTAATGAATAAATAAAATCTTTAAGGAAAAAAAACCCAAAACAATAAAGTAAGCCGATACCCAACGTGGGGCTGGAATTTACAATCCCAAGATCAAGAATTATATACTCTACCAACTCAGCCAGCCAGGCACCCCCTCAAGTATTTATTTTTTTAAAGAGTGGGTCATTATCTGCGTGGACTGATAAAACATCTATGATTTACTTCAAGATAATCCATGAAAGGAAAAGAGGAGACCCAATAGCTGAAGACAGTGGGTCCAGGGGTGTTTGCACTATTCGACTTCTGAGTATGTCTGAAATTTCCCATGATAAAAAACAGTAGTGCTATCCATTTGTTGCATCTATTTAGTAAAACTGAAGAATTTTACTTTAGATCTAAAGTCAACAGATTCATCAGTTATCACTTATGTTTAATTTAGCACACATTTATCCAAGGGTTTAAAAGAACATACACAATTCTCCAAACGTGCTTGTACTTGGAGTAATCTAAATAAAATGCAGAGCCCTGAGAATACCACTGAGTATCGATTTTTGAAAATCAACTATTTCGTAGTGAAAATTATTTAAAATTTTCTTAAAAAGACATAACTGTTTCAAATTACCCAAATATAATCAAACTACATTTTTCATATTGCACAAGTGAATAAAACACTCAAAATTAAATGCCACCAGACAAATTAAATTGCAAAAAATCTCAGCTGGCTACTTTTCCTAATTTACTCATAAAAATAACCATTTAGCTGTTAATAAATTTTTTCCTTTTTTTTTTTTTTTTTTAAATAGCCTCCACACCCAGCATGGAACCCAACTCAGGGCTCAAACCCACGACCCTGAAATCAAGACGTGACCTGAAATCAAAAGCCAGATGCTCAACAACCGACTGAGCCACCAAGGGGCCCCTCAGTTGTTAATAAATCTGAGAAAATTTACCAAAACAAACTTCTCTCCAGTAAATCGAGCAAGGAACAGACCCCGTAAGATTTTAACTTTTAAAACCCTAGAACAGCTATTATTCCCATTTCCACATCAATTTTCAACACAAGTCACTTTGTCTTGCCTCTACTTCCGCCAACTCAACACATAAGTGGCTGGATAATTTTTGGTCGGGGGGGGCTCTAATCAATTTGAAGTATGAGACGGTTTTCTAAAAAGATAACCTCACACTAGCACATTCACTGAAATCACGGCAACCTGCCAAGAGAATGAAGGGATTTTAGTTTGAAGATGGCTAAAGATGGTTTAGTTGAAGATCGTGAAAACGGGGAAATTACAGGTTTCTAGATGCTGGTCATTTGTCAGATCTTTTTTTTTTTTTTTTTTTTTTTAAGATTTTATTTATTTGATGGAGAGAGACACAGTGAGAGAAGGAACACAGCAGGGGGAGTGGGAGAGGCAGAAGCAGGCCTCCCACAGAGGAGGGAGCCCAATGTGGGGCTCGATCCCAGGACCCTGGGATCATGACCTGAGCCAAAGGCAGAGGCCTAACAACTGAGCCGCCCAGGCACGCCAGTCATTTGTCAAATCTTAAAATAAATTTTCAGAGACATGGGCCAAAATGGATGTAGGTAAGTGTTCTCATCCTCCTTTCAGAGCAAGAATCTCAGAATCTTCTCTGAAGAGGAGAAAAGGAGTGACCTGCTCGAGGGCACACAGCCTCAGAACTCTAGTCTTCCCTTAGAAAACAGGAAAAGAAATTACATGACTTCCCTTTATAAGGTGTTCTCGAAAACTAGGAAGTCTCACTATAGTTACATAATCCTTCCTGTAACTTCCAAGAAAGATAATCAAATCAACTATTCAAAATAAGACCACAGTGAAATAAAGTACATCCATATATCTCCTGTTCCAGAGCCTACAGTCACTGCAGTTTCGTTTTTCTCCTCAGAAACAGACTTAACCATAATAATAAAATATATTTGTTGGCCACCATAATATTGTGAGAAAAAAAATAGCTGAAGAGGCATTTTTGTCCCTGTGCTCAGTACAAAGCTAGAGTAAGGGTCACATTCAGTGCTGACCACTGGTGGCTTACTGAAGAAAAATCTGTCATCTTCAACGCAAGTCCTATTTGAAAAAAGTTTACCAACTCTATGTTCACTATTCAAATGTGCACTTTTAGACAAAAGAATTAATTCCATCCATTCCTGTTCCAGTAACACGGGAGATTCTATAAACTGCATCCTAAGGTTCTGCTGAGTCCTCGAGTCAAACACAAAGGCTCTACAGACAGTATATAGTGGGACATAAGCTGAACAATGCAAACTTGAGGCAAGAATTATGATTTCCCCCCTTAAGTGACAATACTCAACAAATACAAACCTAATTTTCATATTTCGTTTTTTATTAGGTTTTTTTTCTTCTGGTAGACAGTACATTTGGGAATTATACTGCACCAGGCATAAGTAGTAAGAGTTCTACCACAGGGACATTTTGTATTCAGAATCCAATATAAATATTTCTAGTCAGACATTTCCATGGCTACAGATATTTGGTTGCTTGATTTATATGCATAGAAAGAAACAGTTGTCATAACTGTAAAAAGCAGTACTTAACAAGTACTTTTAAATGATTGGAACAGTTTTCCTTTAATATTACAATACTGCTTATTGGTTTGGAAACTAGGTCACCCTACATGATGTTTTGATTTTTCTCAAAGGCATCATGAGTACTCTGTTTATTCTTTCATTCCTGCATTTTTAACCTTCTAGTTGAGTTAGGGACCATTTAATCAGAAATCATTGTAGCACTGTAATAAAAAAAGCTCTGTTAAGAGTAGATTATATACCATAATGATTTTCATACTTCTTTTTATAAAAAAGGTATCTGGAGGCTCCGAACAGGCACATGCATACTCAAGGTAAAAGGAACAAAACATACAGGAGTCTGCTAAAGCACAAAACTTCCTTCTGGTCCTCACTGCCTTCAAATAAATACAAATATTTAAAAAACAAAAACAAAACAAAAAAGAAAAACAAACAGAAAACACCCACACTGTGATTTAAAAAAAAAAAAAAAAAAAAAAGTCTCTTCCATGTCCTGGAAAGTCAGTCTCCAGGAACTCCTCCCGGGCTTTGAGATCAGTCATCAGTCTTCCGGGCCAGCCTACAGAAAGTCCAGTTGTGCTCCACTGTGTTCTCGTTGGCCCGCTCACTCATGTGATGCACTCGGGTGTTGCGGATCGTGAAACCTTGTTTTGTAATGTATTCCATCAGGTGGACCCTGAGAGAAACTTCCTGGTGATAATCACAGGGTCCGAAAGTGAAGGAAACCTGGCAATCTCTGGTGTCCATCATGTGCTTATTCCACTTCGTGAAATGGTTTGAGATACCTTCTAGTAAGGAATGGACCTTGGTGGTGATGGTTAACTGTGTTATGATGACAGCTACTGGATTAGAGTACTTAGAAAGCTTCCGAGTACTAGATAACTCCACAACTTCTTCAAAAGTATCCATAGGATACAGAGGCTTGGGGTCATTGAGACATTGAATCAAGGGCTCAATCTGATAAAAATCTGCTTCTTTCCGAAGCAGATCAAATTCCTTAAAATCCAGGGGTAAGGTCAACTCTGAAGTTCTTAAGAAGTTGAGGACATAACGGAAAAGAGGTCCATCTCGATCAATGAAGTAATTGCCTTGAGGGTCTCGAGCTGTGGGGAAGTCCCCCCCAAACATAGCTCCAAGCATGGAATCCGGGTAACGCGTCAATGTGGTGAGAGACGTTGTATACAAGTGTCCACCTACATTTAACGTGACTGGGTCAGTCATCTGAAATTTTTAAAAAACGATCAGTCATCTGAAATTTCTTAAATCCTAACTTTGACAAATTAAGAAAGTTAACAGTAACAAGCAGCAAGGCAAGAGATTCCTTCAGACTATAATGTATTCAGCAATCCTATCATGCAAAACAGCTTTACTGTCAATGATAAACCTACCCAGATGAAGGGATCTAACATTTTCTTTCAATAGGAAAAGGATAAATCTAATTCATTAAAGCCTTACACTAAAAAAGAAGAGCATGACTTCCAAAGCCACTTAATTTCAGGCCTAGTATCTACAGAGAAGTTTTTAGGGCAGAGTACACTATGGGAAGAGAAAAGCCAAGCTATGTTATGCTCACATAAGTTTTTTTCTGATTACCTTCCTTTTTCTTAAGTCAATTTAACACAAAATAGAATAAAAATGATCTGATAGTATAAAGATACCTACTTTCAATACTTCTTTCGTTTTTCCCACTCAAAAAAGGGGAACAAATAGTAAAAATTTATTTTAAAAATAAAAATTTGTGCAGACCTAATCTTTATAACTTCTCCATGGAAATAAAAGTGCCAAATACTAAATTAGAATACACAGTTAGTCAACACCATCTTATATACTCAAAGGCTAATAGCAGCTTTCAAATTTTATAATCCAATCATGTGTTCACTCTTATAATAATGCTGCAATTTGGCCTTTAATTTTGAAAAGCAAGCTCCTCTAAATAATACATACTTTACCTTTTAGATATTATATGTAAGGAAAAAAAATAAAAATAAAGATAAAAGGACTTCAGGTACTAGACAAGTGGAATATTTCTTACCAAAGGAAAACAGGAAGACATTCACACTCAAAAAAAGTACAAGTGGGAGAAGTGGCAGCTTCTCAACCTTTCACTTCCCTAACACAAGAAAATATCCTCTGTACCATTACCTACTAGACCATTTTAATAGTCACGACTCTATGAAGGAAGAGTTTTAAGAGCAACATACTTTAAAGACCAAAAAAAATAGTATGCTCTCAAGTAAGTCATTATAGAAACTTACTTAGTTCATATTGACTTTGCTTACATAAAAACACCAAATTAGACCCCAAAAAATAAACTAAGAGGGGATGGGATGATGTATCAATTTATAATTTTCATTCTTACAAGATGTATTATACCGAAGAACACAGAAGAAGGGGGGAAAGACACATACAAATTATCTGCCAGCCTTCAAAATGCATCTGCAAAAGCATCTTACCATATAGCCCCAGTCTCCATTATCCATCTGCTCCAGCGCTGCGTCTTGGGGAGCCCAGGTTCCAGGGAAACTTGAGGAGAAGAAAAAGACATATAACAGAGCATGTAACTATGAAAAAAGAAGGATTTTCCCACCCAACAGAGCAGACAGCTACTCATCTTTGCTCAGTCAAAACGAGCTACAGGGCAAAGATCTGGAGAAGAAAGCATTCCTCTGCGACTGTCCACACATAACTAAAAGATTGACAATCTTTAGAGAAAAAAAATTTTCCTATGCTTAGGGAAGGAAGAAGAGCCTAGTAAGTACAGCAGTCATTCAAATTCTATCTGCTCTGAAAATTCAATTTTTACAACTTATACAGGAGAACATTACAATTAACTGTTTAACCCTAACCTCATAAAACCTACAATGATCCTTATCAAAAAGGTGATTTAAGGAAAGGGAGAAAGAGAAAACTTTTTTATCCATTTCAGCCACAGAAGCTAAACATCTCAGTAAAAGCCTCAAAAGCCCTAAACCTCCACAACACCAGCATCAATTTCCAAGAGAAAGAGATCAGAATGGTGTTTCTTTTTTAACATAAAAAACACTAATGATACTTTTAATAATGACATATTTCATTTTGTACAATAATCAAAACAAATAGAAAACAATTTAAATGCCAAATCATCAGAGCACAATTTGGGACAACCTTACCAATCTGGTTGCAAGTCACTCAGCCGGCACTTAGGGAGAACCAGGCTGAAGACATTGATAAACATCCAGATACTAATGATGCCAGTTTGAATTTATTTTTATCTACAATTCAAAAGCACTTAAAACACTTTCCCAGCTACAGAATTGCTTTAGTCAGTCCCCTCTCACACATATCACTCTCCAAATCAACCGGCAAAGCAAACTGCAGAGCAAATTTCAAAAGCTCTGGCAAGAGACAGTAAGAAACATGAACTTATCGGTATTTATCCAGGAAAAGCACTGGCTTTTTTATATGGTCTTTGAACAGATTCACTTTTCCCACTTTTAGAGAAATCTGGCACACTATTCCCAGAACAGGCCCTGGCTACAGAAGATCACAAAGGCTCTTTCTCAAAAAGGTCACTCAGGCATGTAGAGAACATTTGCATAGCACAGCAGGGGATGAAATCAGAGCCTGAAGCATCTATTTTTCCACCTTGCACATTCTTCAAAGAAAACAAGCTAAAATGTGGACCAGACAACGTGCAGTCAGGTTTAATTCTCCATACTCAGCAGCTGGATATAGATAGATCTCCACATGCTATAGGGTGAGAAATGGAACAAATGTTCTATTCAGGGGGTTGTGACAACCCTGCATTCCTCTGACTTGCTTGGCAATATCTGAAGTAAACAGAACCAAGTAAACAGGTTTTATCAATTTACATTATGAGCATCTGATTCAGTTACTGATACAACAGACAGATAAATGACTGAGTGATTTAAAAGGCCAGTCATCCAGAAGTTCTGGTAATAGACTTATCTTTGGCATCTTCCCATCACTCAAAGTTTTCATTCCTGACAGCCTCAAAAATTATTCAGTCAACCAACATTTATTATAGGTGAACTTGGTTGCGGGGGATGGGGGGGCGATGTGCAATGTAAAGACACAGAAATAGGAAAGATACAATCCTTGTCCTCATGGAGCTTCCTACCTGTGAAGAAAGGCAACATGCAACAACTGTACAGAAAAGTGCTACATAATGGATGGACTAGCAGAGGCCTTCAGGAAGAAAAAGCAAGAACATTTCTAAATGGGCCAACTTCAGGAAGAGCTCACTCAGGAGGACTTTGCAGGTATATCTGGACAACCCAAGAGGAGAAGGGATTCCAAAATGAAGAAATAAATAAAAAGAGATGAGCCTTTTTCTCCCACAATATTCCTGTAACGTAAGCCATGCATGAGGGCGCCTGGGTGGCTCAGTCGTTAAGCCTCTGTCTGCAGCTCGGGTCACAATCCCAGGGTCCTGGGATGGAGTCCCACATCGAGTCTCCCATCAAGTCTCGCATTGGGCTCCCTGCTCAGCGGGAAGCCTGCTTCTCCCTCTCCCACTCCCCCTGCTTGTGGTCCCTCTCTAGCTGTCTCTCTCGCTGTCAAATAAATAAACTTAAAACAACAACAACAACAACAACAAAACACTTGGATCTTCTGACTCCTAGTCTAGATCTTTCTATAAATCCCCTCTATGGGTAGAAACTGAAAGAACAGAATCCAAGAAATAAGAAACTGAAAGGATTAATTTTAGACCCCCCACCAGCAGGTGGATTTTATTTACAAATTTAACAGTAACTCAGTCTAAGTGAGCAGTCACAATGGGTTTGTAAAAATTCCCCTGAGGCAAAATAGCAAGAACCTACTCACTAGTGTGACTGAAGGCTGGTGTCCTCTGCCTTAAGTGAAGCAAAGAACTCTAATCCAGGAATATACGAATGATTAAATGAGAAATGGGAGACCAAAGACAACAGAAAAAAGTCAGCATCAATGTTACAGCTGTTAGGCAAGGTCTGTCCACTATTAATCCTTTTCCCCCTTTTATACTGCTAAGCCAAAACAATATAACTTCTTAAACAATCATAAAAAGAAAATTAGATGATGCCTTTGAATCTGTTCCACGGCAAAAGCCCAGGTTCTGTTCTGATACAAAGATGTAATGAAACCTCAAGCTTAATAATTCAAGAAAGCAATTAACGGGAATCTATATAAGCCCATGTTTCTTAAAAAGCACCCAAAAGCCTCCCTACATTTGTGTATAAGATACAGATACTCAAAATAAAATGAAGTTACTATAAGTCACTCCCAATAACAATAACTAAACTGTCCAAAAAAATCAAATTGTTCACTAAGAGCTCTAAGGGGAAAAAAAAGTATTGATCAGTTTAAATGGTTTTTTTTTTGTTTGTTTGTTTTTTTTAGAGAGAGAGGGAGAGAGAGCAAGCACAGGCAGACAGAATGGCAGGCAGAGGCAGAGGGAGCAGCAGGCTCCCTGATGAGCAAGGAGCCCGATGCGGGACTCGATCCCAGGACGCTGGGATCATGACCTGAGCCGAAGGCAGCTGCTCAACCAACTGAGCCACCCAGGCGTCCCTGATCAGTTTAAATGTTATCCCTACTCCTTACTTCTAGACATCCTCTGTGGAGATGCTTAATGCTTAGGTACAGCAAGAAACAAATAAAAAAAAAAAGCAGTTAGATTCCTGGTCATCCAACAGCTGGATAATCAGCTTCTAAATTGATGACTATTAGGAACATCTCAGAGATAATACAGATGAATGAAATAAAACATAATCCTAAAGAATTTCCGGGATAGTGTCAATCTCTTCTACAAATCATTTTTCAGAGCTGCTAACAATTAGAAAATGATTCGTTTGCTTTTCGTCATCTCTCTCTTCTGGCACAGTCTCCAGTGGAGGGCTTAATGAGAAGTTAAATGACCACAAGACAGGCAGCAGAAGGACGATCTTGAAATGGGCATCAAAGGGACCTGTTTTACTTAATGAAGACAAAGAAAAATCAAATATTCCAGAAAATTTGCCAGGAATAGAGATTATGAAGGTAACAATGAAAAAATATTTTCTTTAAAGTGACTCTCCTTATTAAAGATCATTTTAAACGGCAGTGAATGCAACCAAGCACAATTATAAAGTTCAAAGAAAGGCTTCCAGCCCCTGAAAATCAGTCCTACCTGAAAATATCTGACCTTCAGTGCAAATAAAATTCTTGTGGAAACTACTGGCTGACCATTCCCAAAGAACATAAAGAGTACTGAAAATTCACCCACAGTTAAGCTTCAAAGGTTAATTATGACTAGTGTGTAAATTCTGACAGTGTAATTTTAGCGGCTAATTAAGCCAAGGAAAACACATACTAAAGAATTTATAAAAGCCTTAAAAGAAACTGCCAACAATTTTCTCAAGTAGCAAATCTGAAAAATGCACAACCCAACAAGTTAATAACCTAAAGAATAACCGAAGAACTCAGGGCCATTCTCCTCATCATTGCAAAGCTGCAATCAGCTTTTGGTTATTAAGTAGCTAAATCTACATAAATATTCTGGGTTTACCATTTCTGCTACAGACTAAAACTGAGTTTTCTCTCAGGCAAAAGTCCTATTCCTATATTAACAGCCTATCCATCAGAATACACACCACCAAACTCAGATAAATAAAAAAAAACCTCAAACTACTGCCTTCCCAAAGTTTCCAGGTAGCCCCTGTAAAATGTTTTTCTACTGAAATCTTTGTGTCTGGCACTCAGAAAAGAAGACTCGATAAATTCTATCTACACATATCTTCAAAATGACTTTTGGTATGGAATTCCTCAGTTCTTGAAACATGGGAGTTTGAAAATGAAAACTTTTTATAGTAACTAAAGGACTCTAAAGGAATCTTTTGGGTTAACATTCACATATAGGCTGATACTAGTAGTCAGGCACACAAAGAGAACATGTTAGGGTATCCTTAACCATACCAACGCAGAAACAGATTGTTTTTCCTAAAATTAATTATTTTTTTCTCTCTCTAGTCTCCATGTAGTCTAGAGGAAAGGAGGTCTAAATTGAAAAAATGACCTTAATGCTTAAGAGCTGTCACAAATAGTCACAAAATTAGAAGATTCCTCTTACTCTCAGTTTCTACAAAATACAATAGGATAATACCACCTTCCCCAAAATAATGATACCATTTAGGCATAGCACAAAGGCAACAACTGACCTACACGGTAACAGATCAGGACTAGGGTTCCAAAGTCACATGCAGGTCAGTGCAGACGAAAGAGAACTGGTTACTGGTGAGGATCTGTATCCCCCTTCTGTTCCTTTACTAATTATGAGACCCTGAGGAAATCTCTCCTTAAGCCCAGCTTTTTTGCAGAATACGAGAAAATAAGCAAGATCATGAATAGAAAACACTGGCGAGTATTAAACGTGAAAATACTAATGGCAGTAGCATAAACAAAATTTCTGTGGTAAACTGAGAAACTTGAGAGTGTGAACACAAGTAATTTAGAACCCTGGCATGGAAACAAGACAAATATGGAAGAAAAAGCCTCTTGATTTGCTTCCAGTCTTCCCAGGTCCTCCTTTCTTCAGAACTCCACAAGGCAGAATTACAGGTAAGGGGGAGCAAGATGGCTTGTATAGAGACCACCAGACATCTGAGTTCTTGATCACAGAAGGAACTTCCCTAAAGCATGACTCAGGATTATCTCTAAGGTAAAGCCAAACCCAAATACGTGTGTTCTGTTTTAAACAGACTCTAAATATCAAAATTCAAGACACACTGAGGGATCTACAGAAGGATTCACCCTAGGATTCCTTTATGTAGGAATGCTTTGGGTAAAACAGGATTTATGAACATTTCAATCATACAAATCTTAAGAATGGCATCTGTGGCAGTCCTCACCACTCAGTCTTTAATATCTATAGCATTACATTAAATGAAAATTAGTATGGACTGATAGTTCTCACCCGAAGAGCAAGTTCTCTCCAACTACCAACCCTGCAGATAAGAAGATTTTCCTTTTCCCAGCCACACATTTGTTCATTTGAAAATATCAGTCTTGGGCTCAGGCCTGTGCTAAATGCTGTCCTCTAGCTTTCTTCCTATTCTGAGATCACACTTGGACATTTGTGAGGGGAAGGAAATAAATATGTCAAGAGGAAATGGTAAGAGATACCTGGGCTACCCCAAACATTCTTGGCCAAACCAGGTCACCCCCGGTCTGCCTGCCACTCAAACCTCTTCTATCACAAAGTCCTAAAATTGGATTTATCAACTTGTTCCAGAACAGCTATACTTGAACAGAAACATGATAACTTCAGCAGAATATCCAAAGAGGATCTGTTTCGTTTCTTCGGTCCCACCCTCAGACACAACCTCCACCACTGTCAGCCCAGCAGGTGCTCCAGGGGCTCCCCATTACCACGGTCATTTATCACTTCTGACCATCAACCATTAAAAACGCCAAGATAGGGGCGCCTGGGTGGCTCAGTGGGTTAAAGCCTCTGCCTTCGGCTCAGGTCATGATCCCAAAGTCCTGGGATCGAGCCCCGCATCGGGCTCTCTGCTCAGCAGGGAGCCTGCTTCCTCCTCTCTCTCTGCCTGCTTCTCTGCCTACTTGTGATCTCCGTCTGTCAAATAAATTAAAAAAAACAAAAACAAAAACGCCAAGATACACAAATCCGGGCAGAAAGAACTCAGCTGCACTCACAGAGTATCTTTGAGGGCAGGAAATGCCCTAAAGAGGTGCTCAGAAGCCCTGCCACAGCCTTTAAATTAGGGCAAACGGTGGCTAATAAGCGCCACCCCCAAGACAATCATTTTCGGGCAAAACTCGAGGTGTCCCCGTCCGGGCCGTTCTTCCCTGTTGCCTGTAGCCAAAGTGCCCCCCCCACCCCCAACCCGGCCCGGCGTGGGACACAAGATGCTCTGGGCCCGGGCAGGGGGCGCGCCCCGGTGTTGCGAGCTCTGGTCAGCCGAAGCCGCACGTCCCCGCGGGGCGGGCCCCGGAACCCGCCCCAGCCCCGCCGCTCCACAGCGGGCTCGTGCCAGCCCCGGAGCGCGCCGCGCCGGCTCCCCACGGTGCCCTCCGCGCGGCCCGCCACCGCCCGGATTCTCCTTAACCCGCTGCCCCGGCCGCTCCGCGCGGGCTTCTCCTTGTGGCTGGCCCTCCCGAGCCCCAGGCCACCTAGCCCTGGGCCCGCCCCCACTCACTGCGCGGTGGCGGCAGCGGCCCGGCCGGGAGATGCCGGCTGCCGGAGAGCAGGAGCGCGAGGACGAGCGAGCCTGCGCCCAGCGGCGGCGACGGCGGCGGCGGCGGTGGCAGAGCGGACGACTGAGCCCGCGCCCGGAGTTGCGGCTCCTGCCGCCCGGCGCGGGCGGCGCCTTCCCAGCAGACCAGCGGCGCCACAAGTGCGGGCGCCCCCTAACGGCGGCTCGAGCTGCAGGCCAGAGGGCCAGGAGGCCGAAGGAGCTCAGCGGGGCGCAGCCTGGGCTGAGCGGTCAGGCCGGCTCCGCCGCAGTCCCGAAGGCCCGCCCCGAAGCCGAAGCCCCCGCCCCCGAAACACGGAGCCCGCGTCCAGAAACCCGCCCCTTCGTCCCGCCCCCGACCGCAGTTTGGAATCAGCCCAGCCCCTGGCATTTTTCCCTGCGTCCTCGCACTCGGGTGCTCACAGCTGTTTCTCTGTTTCACGAACACGCATAGGGCCCCGACCATGTACAGCGGCCACCCAGACGGAAGGGGGTCCTAATGAAAGAAGAAAAGAGACAAGACCCACGAAAATAGCAAAATAATGACAAGTTGTGATTCTGGGTCTTGGGAAGTACAAGGTTGGAGGAAACGGAGTATAAGGGGAGGGGCCTGTGCCTCACACTCGGTGGTCAAGAAAACCTAGACGCCCTGCCTGTGACCCTAGGGGGAAGCCACCCTGTGATAAGGTCACCCATCCGGCCTGGTGGGCATGGTAGGGAAGGGCAGCCAGCCCTGAAGGGTCGCCATGGGCAGCCAGGTGGGGTGAAGGGGAGAGCTGACTTCAGCAGAGAAAATGACCAGTGCAAAGGTCCTGAGGCCTAAAGAAGCTGGCCCTAGTTGAGCTGGTGCGGGTACACCGCTACGGAAGCCAAGGCTGCAGAGGCTAGGGAATTACCTAAAGTCTCAGAGCGAACTGGTCCGCAAGCATAGACTTCCCAAATTCCATTCTCTTCCCGCTAACCAGATCTCTGTCCTGGTTCAGGCGGGACCAGGTAAATGATATTGGTTTTGTCCTTTCCCCGTCTACACCAGGATAACCCCTGGCCTTAGAAACTCACCTGTTTTTCATGTCCGCATGTGCCAGATTGGCTCTGGGGTTTAACTTTTTTTCGCATGATCATCACAGCCAAATCTGATAATTTGGTTTTTCTCCAAAAACTCAAATCGATAGATTGAATGAATGGCATATGTTTCATCAACATGATTGAGTGCTGTATTATCATATTCAAAAAGACTAGATGAGGATACAGGGAAATGTGTATGAAAATAAGACATGCACAAAACGGTATATGTGGTATAGTTCTAATATTATGTTTAAAAAACAAAAATATACATAAACAAAAATTTTGAAGAAAATATGTCAAGTCATTGGTCATAGTTCTCTAGGATGGGATGTTAGTGGTTTATTCTTAATGCATTTCTGAATTTTCTGTATTTTATAGAATGCATAGATATTGAATTTATAATCAGAAAATATGTGTTTTAATTTTTACAAAAGGAAAACACTACCAAAATTACCCAACACTCAGATCTTCAGGATTTGGTGCCACTGAAAATCCAGAACTGCCCCCTGCTTGCTGGTATCCTTTAAAGAGTTACTTCCCTTTTCCTCAACTAAAAACAGAGGAATTAATTTTGTCAGTTGTTTTCTCAGAACTATTCCTATATATCTCTTGAAATGTTTATTACTATTATAAATTATATTTTCAAATATACATCTTATAATATATTGATGATTACTGAAATGTGGTTGGTTTTTATATAATGTATCCAGCAAACTTGGACTCTTTTTTAGCTCTAATAAGCTTAGAGCCTCTCTTGAATTCGCTGTTAAATAATCATAGAGTCTGGAAGCAATTACATTTGGTATCTCCCTGTTCAGCCTTTATTTCCTGTTCCTTGTTTTAAGGCACTAACTAAAATCTTCAGCACAATGTTGAATAGCAATGATGACACTGGGCATTTCCATCTTGTTCTTGACTGCTTCTAATATGTTACCTTTAAAAAGAGTGTTAGTCATAGATTTTTGATAGATACCTTTTATGAGGGTAAGGAAGCACTATTCTGCTTTATTAGGAATGGGTGCTGAATTTTATCAAGCATGAGATTTTTTTTCCCCCTTATCCAGTGGTGGATTTTATTATATTAAACCGTCCATGCATTCGTGGAATTAACATACCTTTGATGATGTGTTATTTTTTTGAGATAGTGCTGGATTGCATTTGTCAATATTTTATTTAGGGTTTTTGCATCCATATCTACAATGAGATATGCCTGCTAATTTCCTTCCCTCTTCTCTCCTTATCTGGTTTTGCTATCAAAGTTACATGAGCTCATAAAATCAATTAAGGATGGGTGTCTGTTCACTACACAGCTTATATAAGAGTGTGATTTTTCTGTAGTTTGGATTTTCTATAGGATTCTCCTGCAAACCATCTTGGTTTGGGAGTTGGGGGTGGAAAGTGTTTATACTGACACCCCAACCCACAATATTCAATCTGGCCTCAGTCTCTCCACCTAAATAGCTCTTGTGGGGCCACCAGGAATCTCCTTATTGCTGAATCCAAAAGAACCTCCTTAGCTCTCCCCAACTCAGCACCTCCCACCCCACAGGAAGGGATGCTGTTGACCACACCCTCCAGGAGTCAGCCTCTTCCCAGGCCCTGTTCTAGTTTCCCTCCTTCCTCTGCAGCTCCTCCTCTCAGACTCATGGCAATGCTCCTCCTCTTGCTTTACCTGCCCCTTCGCCCAGGTTTATGGCCAAGGCAATCCTCTTCTGTCTACCCATCTCTACGGATTGGCTGAGCCACCTCCACGGATTCCATTATTGTCTCTAAGCCAAAAGATTCCCAGATCCATACCTCCAGCCCAAAGTCTCTCTCCTGAGCTCAATCCACAGATATTACATATTCTGTGGCCCCTACCCTGCACCAGGCACTGTGCTAAGTTTTTTGCCCTCTGGATCAGTTCTCTATTGCCACATAATAAATCAACCCCAAATTTAGGGGCTCAAAACATAAAGCATTTCTTATCTCACAGTTTCTATGGGTCAAGAATTGAGAAGAAGATTAGATGGAGAGCAGATCTTACAGTCTAGATGTCAGCTGGGGCTGTCGGCTGTAGGCTGGGCTGGGGCCAGAAGCCACTTCTGAGATCACTGGAGTAGTTTTTAGCAGGAAGCAGTGGCTCTTCTTCACCTGAGCCTCTCCCAACAACATGGCTGCTGAGGTGTCCCCCAGTGCCAGTGATCTAAGAAAGAAAACACAGAAGCCACTGTGTCTTTTTTTTTTTTTTTTTAAGATTTTATTTATTTATTTGAGAGAGAGCAAGCACAAGAAGGGGAAGGGAGAAAGGGGGAGGGAGAGGCAGACTCTCCGCTGAGCAAGGAGCCTGACCTGGGACTTGATCCCAGGACCCTGAGATCATGACCTGAGCCGGAGGCAGACACTTAACTGACTGAGCCACCCAGGCGCCCCAGAAGCCACAGTGTCTTTTATAATGTAGCCTTCAAAGTGGCACACATGTAGTCCCTTGGTCTCACAATGTGGGAGGGCGCCACACAAGCGAATCCCAGGAGGCCGGGATGACTGGAGTATCTTGGAGGTTGCTCACCACACCCTGACAACTCCGAGGACAGACTACTCATGTCATCCCAGGGTACAGATGAGAAAACTAAGGCAAGGTGAGGGGAAGTCATTAACCAAGGCCACACAGCCAAGTGTGAGAAGAAAGCTTTGAACACCAACTCTGCTGGGCGTCCCCTGGTTCTCTCCTCCTGTACACCCTCCTCCGATGGCCCACCACCAGCTTCTTCACCTTCTTCATGTGCAAACCTGAACCCAGTCAGTTTGCCACCCCCAAACCTCTCAAGTCCCCAGCTCAGCTCAGCAAGTGGTGCCACCGTCCTCCCATCTGTCCAAACCAGAAGCTTTGAGTCACGTCTGCTCCTCCCGCCCCCTCACTTCCCAGTGCTGGGTAACCCAGCCCTGCCAAGTCTTCCTCCTCAGCGCAGACTGGATCCATCTCTCCTCCTCTCTTCAGCTCCAAGCCACTGACTTGTCTGCCCTGGACATCTGCAGGAGCCCCCTCCCTCATCACCCTCATTCTCTCTGCTCCCACACTACCCATCCGTCCTCTTCTCTCCTGCGTGAGTCACCTTTAAGAACACAAAGTTGGTTGTGTCTCCCTGCCTGCTTTAAACTCCTTCAGTGGTTCTCATTGCTTTCAGGATCCAGCCCAGATTCCCTCCAATGTGATCTGGCCCCTGCTCACCTCTCCGGGCTCTTCCTCTGCCCCTCTTCTCCTCAGCGCCCTGGCCCCTTAGGCCACATTTCAGCATCCAGGACCCACTGTGAATTTTTTTACCTTAGGCCCTCTGTTATGCTATTCCCTTAGTCTAGAACATTCTTCCCGCAGCCCTCAGCACGCCTGTCTCCTCATCCTTCAGCATATTGTCATCTCCTGACCTCCCAGCCAAGCTGATGTCCCCCAGCTGTAACTTCCACAATGTCTGTCCTCTCTCCCCACCTCACTGCCTCTCAGCTGAACCGTGAGCTTCCTGAGAGCAGAAGCTGCGTCCATCTGGCTCAGAAGAGCACCCTGTGTGAGCAGAGTGTGCCTGGCACTTAGTACCCACTCAGCAACTATGGGCCAGTGTGGTGCATCCACTCCCTCCCTTGCCGCCCCTTGCACTCCATATTCCAGCCCCTAGATAATGTTTGGTTTCTCCAGTGAAGCACGGGATCCCTCACCTCCAAGTCTTGGCACATGCTGTTCCCTCTGCAGGAATGCTCTTCCCTCCTGTCCCTCCATTTACTCAGCTAACTCCTATCTATATCTTCATCAGGAAACTAGGGATGAAAATACACTATGCCCAGTTGAATCTGGATCTCAGATAAATAACAAATAATTGTTTTAGGAAAATTATGTCATTAATATTGCATTAAATACAAGGGTCCTTCCTGTATTTCATCTGACAACCTCCAGCAGGAACCAGCATGAGTTCCCTCCTCCTTTGGGAGAGTTCCCTGATCTCCACTGCTACCACCTTAG